GACAACTCACGCCAGAGAAGAGAGCGTGAAGTATGTCTCCTGTCAGAGGGACCCCACAATGGCCCTGGGGAAGAGTGAAGAGTCCTCATCCGGAGTGCAGAAGCGGGGGAACCAATACGAACTGACTGTAACCCCCATTCCCTGTCCCCCTGTGCCGCTCAGGAGGAGGAGGTGGAGAAACCAGGATTGATGTTAAGCCGGGGAAGAAGGGAGGGATGGGGGAAAGGTGTTTTTGATTTTGAGATCTGTTTGCTTTTTCTTATTTCTCACTACTCCTCTCTGATTTGTTCTCTTAGTAAGTGTAATTAATTTCCCCAAAATCGAGTCTGTTTTGCCTGAGACAGTAAATGAAAGTGATCTCCCTGTCCTTATCTCAAACCTTGAGCCCTTTGAAATATCTTCTCCCCTGGTCTAGCAAAGAAGCGAGGGTGAGAGAGCGGCTGTGTGGGTACCTGGTTGCCAGCCAGGGTCAAACCACTACACCTTGGAAAAAAGGGTCTCTGCATCGGTTATGCAATCTGAGTGAGTGGAGCAAAAGAGCCCTCAGTTCATAAAATCATGGAATCGTAGAATGAGTTGGGTTCACAGGGACCTCAAATGTTGCCTTGTTTCAACACCTTGCCAGGGCTGTGTGCTTCAGTCTCTCATCACCCTTGCAATAAAATCTCATCTAAATGTACTCTCAGTTTAAAACAGTTACCACTCATCCCTGATAAAAAGTCCCTCCCTTTATTTCCTGTAGGCCCCCTCTGGGTACTGGAAAGCTGCAGTAAAGTCTGCCTGGAGTCTTGTCTTCTCCAGGCTGAACAACCCCAACTCTCTCAGCCTGTTCTCATAGGTGAGGTGCTCCAGCCCTCTGATCATCTTCATGGCCCGTCTCTGGACTCGCTCCAACAGAAGCATGTCCTTCTTGTGTTGGGGATCCCAGAGCTGAACCCAGCACTGCAGGTGGGGTCTCATGAGAGCAGAGCAGAGGGGCAGAATCGCCTCCCTTGACCTACTGGTCGCACTGCTTTTGATGCAGCCCAGGGTGCGATTGGCCTTCTGGGCTATGAGTGCACATTGCTGGCTCATGTTCAGTTTTTCATTCACCTCCAAGTCTTTCTCTGCAGGGCCACGCTCAATCTACTCGTTGTCCAGCCTGTGTTTGTGCTGTCTCTTCTGCACAACTTAGAAAAATATAAGTAGCATAAGGAAATTCCAACTTTAAGAGACTACTAAATTTCTGCTATAGCAGAAGTTGGATGTGACGAGGCAGTGATCTCGATTTCAAGGTGTGCCCACGCATCAGTCTCCTCCTTGAGCCTGGAGAAATCCTTGTGGATTGTGCAGACGTTGAAATGTAATCTCTACTTGTCTTTCTGCCTTGCTTTTATTTCCACTAAAAATGGATGATAACACTGTATGAGCATCAAGACAATGTTTAATGTTGGAGTTAGTCCTACCTTAGATGCCTAAGTGATGTTTATGCTTCCTGATTTGTTTCACCTTTCAAAATATATGTAGATTTCACTTTTCAAATTAAGGTAGCTCACATTTAGTAGTCATCTTGAGTGAAAGAATTAATTTCATATCAAAGTATAGAATTTTGAAGTGATGCCAAGAAGAAAATGATACTAATGTTTATCAGGAAGATTGTTATCTGAGAAGAAAATTGGGAAGTGTTTGACCTGTGTTGGTGTTTGTAATTAACGTGATGGTCTTGTCATCTGCTGAATTTTAGAAATACACTGTCAAATTGGTTGGATGAAGCTCTTTTGGTCTTCAAGAGATGCAAAGGAAAGAGAACAGAGGTGGGAGAAATGAATGTAGTAAGAGTCCTTGGGAAGAGAATAGTTCTATCTATACTTGCTTTCATTATTTATACTTTTTTTATACTGCTTACCAATATCTGCTTTATAGGTTGTTGTGGAGACAGGTTTGCTATAAAATCTTGAATTGATTAATAGAACTTCTGCCAGTGGAAGCTCCTTGTTGCAAGAGATCTGTAATCATATAGAAACAGAGTAAAATTTCTTCTTCATTTCTCTTCCATTGAAGCCCTTGTGTTGTGACCCTAAGTATAGTGTTTGCCTAGTGCATTTTTGTCTAAGGTAACCACTTTCAAAAATCTCGTTTTCTTCTTCAAGGTATGGAATATATGAACGATGTAGAGAGTTGGTGGAAGCAGGTTATGATGTCCGACAGCCAGACAAAGAAAATGTAACGCTTCTCCACTGGGCCGCAATCAACAACAGGATAGATCTGGTGAAGTATGTATCGCACTTATGTTAAACTAATCATGTCCTTAAAAATGCTGATTTCTGTTTGTAAGGTTTTAAGTAATCTTAAGCCTTGTAAAATGTCAACTGAAATTTGAGGCAGAGGGGAAAAGTTAGAAAACTGAATTTGCATTTTGGCAGCCATGTTTTGATCATAAAGTGAACCAAAGTAAAAGCTATTCCATGTCCAGAAGTCAAGCTCAGACTGTTCTCGGATGCGTTAAACCTCTGGAACAGCTGTTCAGCTGTACATGCAGTTTCTTTACACTATGGTATACTTGTTGAAATACTAAATTTTTTTTTTAGATGGGGAAGTTTGATGCTAGAAGGTAGTGAATGTTTTTGAATAAGTAAGAGTAATAGAATGTAAAGTTCAATTCCTACTTCATTCAGCACTTCAAGAAGTTCTTACTTAAGTGACTGCATCTTAAAACCCCACCTGTTGCAAAAGGTTAACATTGCAGCACCTCTCCTTGCAAGTAATAGCAAAATCTTTAATAGTGAAAGCTGTGAGATTTAGGGTGGTTTTTTGCTTTTCAGTTTGTAAAGTCTGGAACATAATATTCAAGGCTATGTTTTAAGACCTATTATTATGTTTCAGAAGATAGAAAGCTTAAATTCAGAAGGGGTAGTTCTTAGTACTTGCTGGTCTAGAATGTGTTGTGGTTTTTTCTCTCTGCAAGTAACAGAACAAATGAATTAAGTACATGCAGTTAAATCTAAATACACAAAATATTACTGAACCAGCAGGTTTCTAGACTATGTGACATGAACTACACATCTTCAATCAGTCCACTTTTCAAAACGGTTCTTATTTATGCATGTGTGTACTTACACATAAAAACAAATGCAAATCATCTTAATTTAAGCACACTCTCTCCATGCATGTCCATCACCAGCAGCTTCATCAGACCAGATCTTGAGTTTCTGAATAATCTCAAGTTCACATTTCTCATCTTGTTTTTAAGGGACTTTCAATGTCCTGATGCAGTTTTCTTAAGGTTAAATAGATACAGATAGGTAAATAGATAAAGGTTTAGATCTGATGAGAAGGACCTTGCTTACCGGATATTGGCTATATAAGGTCTTCTCAGTGAAATAGCTCAGAAAGTCATCTGTGGAGAGTGCAAGCTCAAAATTAGACTTCTCTTATTTTTAGTGTTTCCTCATCCTGTCTATTGTGAGACTTGAGATTCAGCATTGATAACAGTTTTTAAATGCCTGGCAAAGACTTAGTGATCCTAAGGTGGAGATCAGTGGAAGTATTTTCTTCTTAAGGTAACATCAGATCTGCTTGCTTTGTGTGCAGACAGGACTTGCACTGGAAGACTGGTATCTTCCAGCTTGGAAACTTAGATGACTCCCTGAGAGTAGAATTGCCCAGTTCTTCCTTTCTCCAGGGACATTCTCACCAAGCACAAAATTCTGTCTGCAATATCTACCTAGACAAAGAGATTAAGTTCTCAGTCTGGTTTTGCAGAAAAATCTCACTGTTCATGTATGCTGGAACTGAAGTGCAGTGATAAATCTCAGTTTAGACTAAGAACAGCCTTAAGGAAACATACAATATTATTTCAACGCACCATCTGGCAGGAGATCGCTGCCTTGTCTTTTCCCAGTTGTCAAACTGCAAGTTCTTCCTTCTAAATAAAACGAACTAACCAGTAAGCAGTGCTGCAGCTCAGCAGAATCTGAACATATTCTGTGTTTCTGCAGGGATCAGTGTTTGAATGAAGACAATCTGTTTCGTGTTCACCTCCTCATGAGTGGCTGTCACATCAGTGAGAGGGATCCAAGCTTTGACTGTGAATTTCTCCGTGCTGTCTTTTATCTACACAAGATTTCCTTGGGAACTCCTTCCCAAGGGGGCTAAATAGCTTCTTAGTGTCTTATTTGAATTTTTTCTTTGCTAGCTAATGCTTCACAATAAAAAAATTACATTGTCTCTTTACCTTATATGTATGCCTTGTCTTTTCACCTGCATGGTACCAAGATTTTCACACCTTTGGTTGTTCTCACTGAGAAATCCAAAAGCTTAACTTCAGCAGAGATATGTTACCGTTCTGTTCCTTTGGTGTTGGAGCCCAGCGGAGTAGACTGTCCTGCATCGATCAGAGCAGATTTTGTTCATCATCCGAACCTGAGTTTGTATGACTTTGGCAAGTCAGCTCAAGTACTTCATTGTGTCTGGTAGCTCTAAAGCAGCCGCATAAAAGAACTTTTCCTTTAGATATTTTTAGTGCGGGCACTTTTTGAAGTTGCGCTCTCTGAATCAGTGAACGCTAAAGAAGAAGGTAGTTTCTTAGAGCAGTGCTTTTCAAATTGTTCTGTTTGTTACTCTTCTTCTTGCTTGAATTACTTACAGGAAAGAGAGGTGCCTGAAACTTAATGCTGAGGATTTGAAGGACAGTTTGTATGAGCAGGAGAGCAACATTCACGTTTACCAGGCATGTGTTTTGTAAACAAGTCTGCAGGTATAGGTACTTAAAATAAGCAAGCACTTAGGAATCCATAGCCAGATTGTACATTTCAAAGGTCTGTTAGTAATGTGGTTTTTTCCCATTGACTTATATGATAGTGAATGAAGACCTGCAAGCCTACAGGGAAAGCCTGTTCTTTTTAAAACAGGAGTTCCTTTGCAAGGTGTGCATTTTCTTTCACAAAGGAAAAATAATATTGCCAGTTTAGCATCCCATAAAAAACAGCAAACAAAAACGGTTCACAGAGAGGGCACAGTTCAGTATGGGTAATGTGTTTTGTTCCTACAGGTACTTTGTATTTTTGTAAGTGTTCTTGAGGGAAGAATAATTTCTAGAAGTATTTTTTTAATGCTCAGGTGTTTTTATCCTTTGATGAACGTCAGTTGAGAAGTATGTAAAAATGTTAGTACTTGGCTAAACGTGTAACTTAAGTGTGAGCTCTTGGAACAGTTACTTCAGCAGGGCTATTCCTGTGATGACGCATGCGGTAAGTTGAATTGTATATAATTTTGCCATTTAGCCAAAATTCTCTAAATACACTAGTCTTCTAGCGTCATATTATTTTACTAGTAATTCAGAATGCCTTTTAATGTAGCAACTCCTAAATACTTTAGAGAATCAATTTTATTAAATACTTTTGTGGTAGTATAGTTTTTACTAATATATATGGCAGTTACTCTGTTTTACCTTAGAACCAAACTGAGAAATAGCAGCATATTTAAAATACAGTAGGAAACATCCCTACTCTCACAACCCGCATCAAAAAGGCAAAAATTTGAATGTAGATGCACAACCTATAACAAGCAAGGTTATATGAAGGCATGATCTCTGTCTGTTTTACATAATATCACATGTACTTACTGTGTGTCCTTTACACTTGACCAAGACAAGCAGTAATGTTTACTTGTTCTGTTATTCCAGATACTATATATCTAAAGGTGCTATCGTTGATCAGCTTGGAGGAGATTTAAATTCTACCCCACTTCACTGGGCAACGAGGTGTGGAAAAAGTCTTCTGGAATTTTCTTTTCCTGGGTCTTTGCTTAACTTGGAATCTGCTATGCATTGATTTATAAAATTACTGTATTTTATGGGAGTACTTTGTACGGGAGTTAATTCAGTCATTGATAACTGGGCACACTGTGAATGTGATGTGTTTGAGCTGCTGCTGCTGCTGGTTTAACCCCAGTCAGCAATGAGGCACCACATAGCCTCTCGCTCTCCCCATCCAGAGGGATTGAGGAGGGAATCAAAAATAAAATGTAAAACTCGTGAGCAGAGACACTCTGCTCTATGCGACAGGACTATACGATAAGAAATGAAGAAAATAATAACAATGACTATAATGATAAATATAATAATAAAATAATCTACAAAACAAGTGATGCACAATGCAGTTGCTCAGCACTTGCTGACTGATACTCAGTCAGTTCCTGAGCAGTGGCCTCCGGCCACCTTTCCCTTGTTTTTATATATTGGGCATGACGTCATGTGGTATGGAATACTCCTGTGGTCACCTGGGGTCAGCTGTCCCAGCTGTGGCCCCTCCCAATTTGTTGTGCCCCTCCAGCCTTCTTGCTGAGCATGAGAAGCTGAGAAGTCCTAGACTTAGTATTAACACTACTTAGCGACAACTAAAAATGTCAGTGTGTTATCAACATTATCCTCATACAAAATCCAAACCACAACGCTGTACCAACTGCTAGGAAGAAAATTAGCCCTACCGTAGCCAAAACCGGGACAAGGAGCTCTAAGCATATAGTTGAGTTTTTCGACTTATTTCTTTCTGCTGTAGAGAAAGATGATTGCAATAATAGGAAATGGAGCAAAGTAAAATTAGAGTCTTTAGTCACATTTGTTTGCTCTTACTTTGGAGATTTCATTTTTGTCAGTCTTCTCAAGTTTAGCAGCACTTGGGACAATTTTGTATGAGATGATTATGTATGACATTGTCCTTGTAGTGTTCTGTTATGTGCTTGGATTTTTTTAAAGATGCACTTAAAATTGGAATTACGATGTAAAAGATGATCTGAGAATAATAAATGGCTGGGAAAATTTAAGACAACCTTCATGTAGTAGTTGCTTCTTCAGACAGTCACCTAGAAATAGGCATGAAAGAACACTGTCCATATTAATATTTTTAACTGTAGACTGCAAAAGGAGACTTAGAAAAATGACTTTTAGAACATGTAATCTGTCGAAATAGTCTGTTTACCAAAGATGATGACTTGCTTGTTAGCCTCTCTTAAAGATTTTAGCTCATATATTTCTTTTTGGTACAGATCACACTTCAGGTTCTGTGTTAATAACACAAAAAGTTGGTTGAGTTTCCTGGTGCACACAGATGTAAACTGTTGTTCTGTGAAGCACTGTCTGAACTGGCTTCTGTGAAAAGAACTTTATGCTCATGTCAGAAGCTGTGTAGTGGCAGATAGGCACTGCGCCTGCAAGAAGAATATGCCCATGCTTCCTATGCCAGAAAAGATGCTTAAGTTTTTAACATCATATGGAGGAAGTATAGGCCTCCAGTTTACCTTTTCTTCCTATTTTTATTTCACTACTGTTTGTATATTATAGAAAGATAAACCATATGCTTCACAGAAAGTGAGATTATGTAGCCAGTCTGACATCTCTTAAAATAGCAGGTCTCAAATGTGATTTGGAAGAAGTCACAATAGGCTAGATTTCTAAACTAATATTTTGGGGGATTTTGTTGACTGACTTTTTCCTATACAACACGCGTAACCAAATTGCACAGGATGAATGCATCGGCTCCATAAAATTTTCTTATATGAATGAATTTGCTTACTCAGTTGTAGAATCAGATCATGACAGTTGTTATTTTCAAAGTATGAGTCAAAGTGCAGAAGCTCTGGTAATGCAATTAACTGCTAAACACGTTTGTTGTATTCAAATGTTCAAATTTTAGTAGTTTTTCTGTATATGGTTATTCATTTGTGGCTTTTGTGTGTTTTGTTACATTTAGGCAGGGTCACTTATCCATGGTTGTACAGCTGATGAAATATGGAGCAGATCCGTCACTAATTGATGGAGAGGGATGTAGCTGTATTCATTTGGCTGCCCAGTTTGGCCATACTTCGATTGTTGCTTACCTGATAGCAAAGGGACAGGTAAGTTTTAAGTAATACCAAATTTAAATAGAATCTACTCAAAACTCGAGTAGGAAAATAATTGAAATCCATACCTGTCATTCAGGAAATGCAAAATACTTGCCTGAATAAACATAAAAATAATTCAATGCCATTTATTGTAGACTATAATATTGATGTGCCACCTGCTAACTTAATTTCCTCTAACAGTGGTCTGAGTGCTTTGGCTTTAGTTTATGCCTGTCTAGTGTAATATATGGAAATTCTGGCAGTTATTCTTTTACTGTTCTTTATTTCTAATGAATTTGATCTTTAAATGATAACAGTGACAATGGTAGCAAGTATTTTAGAATTCACAGAATCATCAGGTTATACACGGTTAAAAAAATCTAATGACAAACAGTTGTTGTAGGTAATTTTTTTTTTTACACCTCAGCCCACAATTTTTATTTATTTATGTTTCTCATTGCATGTATGTAAATAAAAAAAACCTCCGAAAGAACCCCAAACTGCTTATATTAATGCTAGATCTGTGAAGTTGTGTATATAACGTGTTCATTACTGTTCTTGTTGCTTCTGATCCTGAGCATGTATGCTCAAAAGCAAGTTCACGTTTTTGCTACTCTCCCTGTGTTCTAATTTGTAGATTTACTCACCCACAGATATGTACCTGAAGCACAAATTTGATTTGTTTTGTAAAACATATAGGAAAGTCAAAATCCTCCTATCATTTTAGTATTGCTGTTCTCTCTTCTGTATTCTGCTTATTCTTTCAAATAACGAGACATGATACAATGAGTCAGGTAGAATCTGACTGTGAAATTGGTGGGTTTGGTCTGTGTAAAACAAATACTGAAATTCCTGCAGAAAATTATTTGTTTCTGGACATGTGTACCTGGAAACTATTTGGTCAAATAGTATTTAGTGTATGATAGAGAGTAAGCTAGGCGTTAGAAGCAGATGATCATCATAGAATCATGGAGTGGCCTAAGCTGGAAGGGACCTTAGAGATCATCTAGTCCAACCTCCCTGTTATGGGCAGGGACGCCACCTCTCGACTAGACCAGGCAACACATGGGGACCGAGCGGGAATCGAACCCGCGACCTTGGCGTTCTTAGTGCAACGCTCAACTGACTGAGCTAACCATTAATTTCTGTTTTGTAAGAAATAATGATTAGAGAGAAATGCTTTTTCATCAGGAACAAGGTTTGTATGTTGTTCACGAACTATGTGTAATGGTATGTGGGTTTTATGTTACCAGAAAAATCTTGTAGATGTGGTACATATGCGAACTTGTTTAAAACATAACATTAATGAGGTATAAACAACCTTTAAAAATGTTCTGCTGTGGTTATGAAATCTCCCTGTAAAGGTTTGTATACATGTGTATACATGTTTGTATAAAGACTTGTCTTATTTGAGCATATAAGTCTTCATTTCAAAAGGAGCTGTGTGTCTTTACATGTGTACATTTTTAAGTGCACAAAATTGCTTTAAAATTTAAAACCTATTATCTTGGAAGGAGCTCTCTATCAATAGCTTTTAAAAGGATGATTTCTTGTTAAATCCCCCAAATCACAGAATCACAGAATGTCAGGGGTTGGAAGTGACCTCAAAAGATCATCTAGTCCAGCCCCCCTGGCAGAGCAGGATCACCTACAGTAGGTCACACAGGAACGCATCTAGACGGGTTTTGAATGTCTCCCAGAGGAGATTCCACAACGTCTCTGGGCAGCCTGTGCCAGTGCTCCGTCACCCTCATAGTGAAAAAATGTTATAAAGTGTGATTTTTCGTATAATTTCCATGCCATAAGTTTGAAGTAATTCTAACAATAACCTCTAGAAGCACTTCCAAGAATTTCAACTTCAAAATTATTTGTTGGGTTTTGTGTTTAAAATACAGTAGTATCAATATCATTGTTAAAACAATCCTTAAACTCATAGCTCTGTAGCTATACTCTGTACAACTACAGAAGCTATGTGCTTTTTGTGGAAGCTATGGGAAATGCATAATTCTACATTTTATTCTTCTTTAATAAGTACATATGAGATCATTAATCCCTTCATGATGCCATGATTTGAGTTTGGAAACTTAGACTGCTTTTGCTTAAGTGACCTTACCCTATATACTACTTGCAACTTTTTTTACCTCATGTTTTTACAGTGACTGGGTTCTCTTATATCCAAAGAGTAGACTTGCACTTGTTCTGAACTTAATTGCAGTACCTGTGTGGTAAATGACAACAAAGTAAAAGTCAAAATAAAGATCGGTGTAGGTCATTGTGCTTTTGTCAGTTCTGATCCTGATGCTTTTGTGCACCTGCATGACCAGAGGAGAGTGAGCTTTTATAACTGTGGAGAGAACTGACAGGTGGATTAAGAAGTCCCTTTTGGAGACAGAGCTGGAGCCAACTTTAGTGTCACTGTTTCATTTTTCCTGGGCTGCAGCAGCTGGCGGTGAACTTTCCAATCTGAGGCTCGAGTCCAGTCCTCTGGCTTGTGGAGTGGAGCACAGGGGAAGAACTCATGGTCAGACGCCCTCTTGCCTTGGTTGGCAGTGAACCCACTTTCATGCCAGCAAGTACTGCTCAGCCAAGAGGCAGCAGTAGCTGATAGCTGTTGCTTTTTATTTAGTCGTGTCTACCTGGCTGGATCAAAATTTGTTAATGTTGTGTGTGTCAACAGGTTACCTGGGTCAAAATCAAGCCTGAGGCAAGTACATGACATAAATAGAATCAGATAGCAGGTCACAGAATCCGTAGCGCAGTTCAAGCTTAGGTAAGATTGTTATTCCCAAAAAAATGTAAGAAAGAAAAGCTGAAAAGAGCTTGAAGCCACTGAAAAATGTTCAAAATGGATGCTCGTACTACTTGACTGCTTGACACTGCTTACGCTACTTAAAATGCCGAAGTCATATCAGGGCCCAATGTATACAAACGTGACATTCCAGAGTAAGTTAAGATGTGAATATGGTATGTCAGATGGTTGAGTAATGCATCTCATCCTGTGGCATATTTGAGATTACAAGAATCCTACAAAATCTCTCCTTCTAGTGAGTAGTTAGCATGTGTCTTTCCTAAATTAGGAAATGTTTTTAGCCTTACATCTCCTTTCACAATAAATCTTTACTATATGTGTTTAAAAAATCTCTTTAGAACTCTGTTTGCCTTTCCCTGGGCAAGAGTCCGTGTGACAGAGGTCTTTTCCCTATGGAGCATAGGATTCTGAACAAGGGTGCGATGAATTTTTCTATGAAGGATTAAAGGGAAAGCATGGGCACGTGACATTGTGATTGGCATCTCCTACAGGCCACCTGACCAGCATGACCAGTTGGATGAGGCTCCCTATCTACAGATAGAAGCAGCCTCACGTTCGCCAGCCCTGGTCCTAATGGGAAACTTCAGCCACCCTGATATCTGTCTAAGTGACAGCATAGCAAGGCACAAGCAAACCAGGAGGTTCCTGGAATGCATCGATGACAATTTTCTTCTCCAAGTGGTACAGGAGCCTACGAGAAGAGGTGCTTTGCTGGGCCTTGTTCTCACCAACAAAGAGGGGCTCGTGGGGAGCGTGCAGCTTAAGGATCAATACTGGGACCGGTGCTATTTAACATCTTTGTCAGTGACATGGACAGTGGGATAGAGTGCACCCTCAGCACGTTTGCTGACAACACCAAACTCTGTGGAGTGGTTGACACGCTGGAGAGAAGGGAGGCCATCCAGAGAGACTTTGAGGCGTGGGTCCATGCCAACCTCATGAAGTTCAGCAAGGCCAAGTGTAAAGTCCTGAACTTGGGTCAAGCCAGTCTCAAGCACAAATACAGGATGAGGGGAAAACAGATTGGGAGCAGTCCTGAGGAGAAGGACTTGGCCATGTTAGTTGATGAGAGGCTCAACAAGAGCTGGCAGTGTGCCCAAAAAGCAAACCGTGTCGTGGGCTGCATCAAGAGGTGCGTGACCAGCGGGTCGAGAGAGGTGATTCTGCCCCTCTACTCTGCTTTGGTGAGGCCCCACCTGGAGTATTGCATCCAGTTCTGGAGCCCACAGCACAAGAAGGATGTGGATCTACTGGACTGAGCCCAGGAGGGGCACGAAGATGATCAGAGGGTTGGAGCACCTCAGCTATGAAGACAGGCTGAGGGAGCTGGGGTTATTCAGCCTGGAGAAGAGGTGGCTCTGGGGTGACCTCATAGCAGCCTTCCAGTACCTGAAGGGGGCCTGCAGGGAAGCTGGAGAAGGGCTTTTTATGGGGACCTGTAGTGATAGGACAAGGGACAATAGCCTGAAACTGCAAGAGGGTAGATTTAGATTAGATATTAGGAAGAAATTCTTCACCATGAGGATAGTGAAGCACTGGGACAGATTGCCCAGAGAAGTTGTGAATACCCCATCCCTGGAAGTGTCCAAGGCCAGGCTGGATGGCACTTTAACAACCTGATCTAATGGGGGAGAGGTGTCCCTGCCCACAGCAGGGGGGATTGGAACTAGATGATCTTCAAGGCCCCTTCCAACCTGAACCAGTGTATGATTCTCTGAGGTCTGTGTTTTGTGAAATAACCAGTTCTAAAGAGGCTGACGTTTCTGGTCTCTTTCTGTTTAATTTAATGCATTTATAAGTGTAATCTCTTGATGTTCTTTGTGCTTTTGAAAAGGCCACATTGTGTCACAGTTCTGATTTGACCATTAAATGTCCTGACAAGCCTAAATGCCACTCTGATCTCTAGCTGCTGTTCAGAATCCTACCTTGTGAGCTATATTGCTTTCAGAAAGTAGTGTTAAGCAGCAGAATAGCTGCTACAGCTCCTTGCCATGCAGGAACCTCTTTCTATCATATATTTTTACCTCTCCAAAGACTTTTTTGTAGAATTTGGTATTAGTTTCCTAGGATTAAGTCTGGTTGTCCTTGTATAAGCAGAGTTGTTCAGGAACAAAGGAAAAATTTGCCAGTTGTGGTCCACAGAGTTTATGCTTGGAATACCTACAGAGGGCAGCAGTATGTGTGCTTTTTGGTCATTGCGCTGAAATGTTTGGGTTTTGCAGTGCTTGTGATACGACCCATCAGCATCATCAGATTAACGTGTCACTGAGAGTTAAATGAGAAATTGATGCGAAAACCCTTATTGCTACGCACCAGAGCAGAACAAGTCTCCTAATACGTAACCTGCTGCTGAAGGTTTTGCTTTTTAGCCTCAGCGTTTTGGTAAAAAGCAGCAACACAGCTTCCTTTCTGAAACATCCCACTTGTGTGGTTGTGGTGATGATCTGGTGAAATAAAAAAAGGAGTTCTTGAACATAGGTTTGTAGAGCATGCATCTGCTGTCCATAGCTGTGTCATCTTTGTTACGCCTGTACGACAGCATGTGAGTCAGTCTTCATTGCTTTGCCTCTTGCTAGAGCTCCCTTGAAAAGGGATCTGCCCCAGCCCACATTGTAGCTTAATAGGAAAGAGCTGTGGCCTGCTTAGGTAACTTAGGTGCAGAAAATAGCCTGGAGCTTGTGGTTCAGTCCTCACTTGCTTATAGATCAGTTTTATTTCTGGATAGGTTGCTCTTATTAATAACTTTTGTTTAAACATTTTTTGGCATCCATTAACTTCATATCCAGATATGTAAATACCTTTGAAACTGAGTGAAGTAAGGAAAATCGATTTCCAAGTGGAAAAATAGATACAGCTAGCATTCAGGAAGATGTAGGATTCAGGCCATGGCATTTATGTTAATTTATCAAGTATTTTATTAAATATTGGTGCATTATTTTGGTTTTCTCCTGCTTTTGAGTGCAATAGTATACCATCTATAGATATCTTCTATGTTGAAGATTAATAATAAGATAGAAATTACTAGTCATATACGTCATGATGTTCCTTAGTTTCCAAAATAGATTGGAATGTCAGTATTTTGGCAACGGTGGTATTAATGTCTATTTCCATTTTTTAAGTACTATTTTATTACTGAAAGCTTGCCAGTTTTTTTCTCCAGTTCACTTGGTTAGTCTTAAAATACTCCTTCTTGTTACAAACCTTTGTATGTACTGGATCTTAAGTATGCTTACTTATCTCACCATTTTTTTTTCTTTTCCTTTTTAGGATGTAGATATGATGGATCAAAATGGAATGACACCTTTAATGTGGGCAGCTTACAGAACACATAGGTAATATCTCACTGCAGTTTTGACTTTATCTTGATGTTAACTAGGTAGTTTATAGTAGTGACTGATTTTGGTTGTTTGGAGAGTTTGGGGTTTTGGGTTTTTGTTTTTGTGGGTTTTTTTTAAACTAATCAATGTTCTTTCCACAATTGCCACCATCTCTCTTCATTTATGATTGTTGTAAGTTAACCCCAGTAGACAGCTCAGCCCCACGCAGCCACTTGCTCGCTCCTGCCCAGCGGGATGAGGAGGATAATCAAAAAGTTTAAAGTGAGAAAACTCATGGGTTGAGATAAAGACAGTTTAATAGGTAAAGCAAAAACTGCACACCCAAGCAAAGTGAAGCAAGGATTTCTTTCACCACTTCCCTTGGGCAGGCAGGTGTTCAGCCATCTCTGGGACAGTAGGGCTCCATCACCTGTAATGGTGACTTGGGAAGACAAACACTGTCGCTCTGAATATTCCCCCTTCCTTCTTCTTTTCTCAGGTTTTGCTGAGCATGACATTATATCCTGTGAAATTTCCTATTGGTCCCAGCTTCTTGTGCACCCCCAGCCTGCTTGCTGGTGGGGCAGCATGAGAAACAGAAAAGACCTTGATGCTGTGTAAGCATTGCTCAGCAACAGCTGCTGCAGCAGGAGTGTTACCGACACCAGTTTTGTCACAAATCCAAACCACAGCACCATAGGAGCCACTGTGAAGAAGATAAATTTGATCCTGTCCCAAACTAGTATAATGGCCTATTCAAGAGAGAGGATACTATGCAGAAGTACTTACTAGTATGAGATTTTTGTTTACAAAGTAAATCTTCTTGTGGAGGTGATTAGAAAAAGTTAGTGTAAAACAACACTTCTCCAAAGATTTTTCTGAATTAGAATCCTACTTTCAAGGGCCTATCTCCATCGACTGTTGAGAGGAACAGAGGCTAGCTGTTACAAATACCTGCTGTTGCTGGCATTATCATCCTATTTTATTTTCATCTTCTGGAAAGTGAAGTAGAAATATAACATGTTTTGAACTTTAGTTATTGTCTTCCAAGTATGTAATTGTGCATGCTTTTATAAATCTCTTGATACTGTTAGGTTTTGGTAAATGTGAAAACAGAATTGTGTAATAAATGTGTTTCATGGAGTCCTGGAGCAAACTGTCTTACTGAGCTCCTTTAAAATTAGTCAAAAGAATTGCGATTGCTCTTTGCTTGGAAGGGAATTTTGGTCATTCATAATCATCAGCAAAAAATGTCACTTTGCTATTACATAGTGTACCTGGTCAGTGTTCTTTTTATAGAAGTTGAACTGATTAACAATAAGTTGGTTTGTATTTGAGTTCATCTTCTGTAGCTCTAACAAGAATTTTCTTTTCTAGTGTGGATCCAACCCGATTACTACTTACATTTAATGTTTCTGTTAATCTTGGAGACAAATATCACAAAAACACAGCGTTGCACTGGGCTGTGCTAGCAGGAAATACTACAGTTATTAGTCTTCTCTTAGAAGCTGGAGCTAATGTTGATGCCCAAAATATAAAGGTAAACACTTGGTCTGTTTTTACTGTAAGTGATTTGAGGCTGAAATAACAGAACCTATGATAAATCTCAAGAGAAGGTTATTATTGTGGGTACGGTGGGATCGTGAAGATGGAGCAAAAATCATGCCACCAGTGTTTAATTTGGGGATCCATTTTTCCTAAGTGATGCATAACCACTGAGTCTGCCTTCAAAAGTACTCATGTGAATAACTTACCAGTGGTTATGTGCAAATATATTGGAGTGGGCTGTGCAGTTAGACTGGAGGTGTGAAGACCGATTCACTTGGATGCAGAAGTGGAAATCTGATTGAATGTCTTCTCATGAAATTCTGGGATGACTGACTGTTTATTGGAGTAAGATGTAAGACAGCTCCATCCTCTTCCAGAGAGGTGACAAATGCTCTAGTCGATCCCAGTGGCAATAAGGAAGTTGAAGGTCTAAAAATATCAGTTGGAGGAAAATAAGAACACAGGCTCTTTTTTTACCTCAGAACTTTAAAGTTGCATGATTACTCTGCCAGAACTTCATCATGATAAAGGTACACTCAGCACTATCGGAGCCCCTCCCTAGATGTGTTAGACCAGCTAAACAGCTGTTAGAACTCATGACATAGGCTCAGAGTTTGTAAGAGCTTGTCCAGCAGTGGAAGGTGTGTCTACTGAACATGGTTTTGTCCATTGCCTCCAGACTATTCTACATATGAAAGAAAGTGCGCTTCACCACACAAGCTGTTTCTTCTGTGGTGTCAGAGAAGAATTCACTTTTAGAAAAAGAATTCTCTACTTGATTTCTCTTCAAATATTTGTATTTTCAGTTTAATCTGTGCTACAGATGGAGTGGTTACACTGGCAAATACACCTGTAAATCTAAATTTATTAAATTTTAAGTAATCACAGAATCATAGAATATTAGGGATTGGAAGGGACCTCAAAAGATCATCTAGTCCAACCCCCCTGCCAGAGCAGGATCCCCTAGGGCAGCCACACAGGAAGGCATCCAGGTGGGTTTTGAATGTCTCCAGAGAAGGAGACTCCACAACCTCTCTGAGCAGCCTGTGCCAGTGCTCTGTCATGCTCAGAGAAGTTCCTCCTTACGTTTAGATGAAACTTCCTGTGTCCAAGATTGTGACTGTTGCCTCTTGTGTCACTGGGCACTGCTGAAAAGAGGCTGGTCCTGTCTTCCTGACACCCACTCTTTAAGTATTTATAAACATTAATTTTATTTGATCTTTCAACATTTTCTCTACTGATTAAGATGGCCAGGGTCTATTTTGCAAGTGATAGAAATATGCTAAAATATATAGATACACACATCCACTTTCTTGAACATCATGGAAGTCTTTTTAAGGGTATAGTCATGCTCTACTAGTATCTTGCTAGGTCCCACGTCCACTTTAGAATATTAGAAATACTGGTGATCATGACTGACGACTCATTACATATGGTTTTTCACATGTTTACAGCAAATCAACTAACTTCTTGCATGTACTGATGTGACTATATGATGTTTATTCCTGGTCTGTAAGGTCAGTTGTGTGAGTTACACTTCTAGTCTCACTTCTTGTAAACTGTTGAAAAGCTTTTTCTGCTATACCACCTAATAGTAAAAATTAAGGTATTTTTGTGGAAAAACTAACCACCAGTGTGCCATACCTTGCTTCCCTTGGCAGACTGATCAGTGTGATTAGTTATAAAGTCATTGCCTGACCTATGTTGCTGGACTCCTATGAAATCCATAAGAAAAATTCCTATGTTTGGCCAAATGAAAACGTATCTGTTAACCTGAGGCAGTTTATGGACTCTCCTTCTTTATTGACAGACAGCAGCAGTCAGTAGAAAAATAGGTTTTTAAACCTGCTGGATCATGATATCTTGCCAGTCATGCCAGAAGATATGTGTCTGGTTTCATTAACCACTGCCTGCCTTCTGCAGTGGAATCTGGGTTTCTTGCATGCCTTCCCAGGTTTTCTAGGATTTCTAGCGGATGAAAATCATTCGAACAGTGGCAGTTGTGCCATCCTGCCAGTGGCTTTATAACAGATGCTGATTCAGGTGACAGTAAACATAGAGGAAATGTAAGGTTTTGTGGGTATATAGAAACTCAGTTTTGTGCTTCTGCTTTGTTAAGAAAAAAAAAGTTTCCTCTGAGCCAGCAACTGGTTGTTAAGTGTCTGGCTGGTATTTACCTAGACACAAAAGGAATCGTGACAGGCTTTTTCTGATGCAGTCACTTTCATATTTCTGCAGCACTGTCCTTTTCTCGGGTAGCCCATGGAATTGACCAAGAATGTTAGTAAGACAGCTGAGGTTAAAGAAATACATTGACTGAGAGCCGTTCGTCTTTTTCAAATTATGAAGTGGCTGAAATATTAGGTGCAAGCTTTGATCTTGCTGTTATGAGGTGTAAGCAGCCTGTGTTAGCAAGGTCCTTGCTGCTGGACCACCTAAGTTTGCAACAAATTGGAACCAGTCATCTCGATAAGGTCCTCTTTTCACTTTTCATGGCAGTTTGAGAAGTATACAAACAGCAGTTTTATCCTAGAATAAAGCTTGATGCAAGCGGTGGATTTGTTTCGTTTGTGTTAGTTACACTCTTTATGTTATGCTGTACAAGAAAATAATACTTTTCTTTCAGCAGTAAAATATTTTCTTTTTCCTTTTTGAGAACTGGATTGCACTTGGAGTTGAAAGTTGTTTTTCAGTAGTGAAATCAGAATGTTTTTTTTATTTGGTTCATTTTGTTAAGGAAATTAACTTGCAACACCAGATTGGCCAGATGAGGACAGAATTTTACAGGGAGTCAGCTTATCACTATAGGTTGGAGGGAAGCCTTTGAAGTTTTTATTTAAATATAAGCAGAAGCTCCATTTTTCACTATAGAGTGATAGAGACCTAAGAAAACTTTTTTTGTGTAAGGAAGTTTTGGGTGGTGGTTTTTGTTTGGTTTTGTTTGTTTTTAAAATTGGTTAATGAATCACTGAATGGACTTTAGATGTAGTTTCTTGGTTATGCTGTGTATATGTAGACTTGTCTGTGGAAGTCTACATGTAAAGTTCCCTATAGTAATGACATTTCAGATTATTCTTTCTATTTAAACACTTTAAATATATACTATTGAAGCTTATTGCTTGCTGGCAAGCCAAGTGTATTTCTAGATTAAGTTCCCTCATATTGTTATTTTTAGGTTTCATTTTTTGCTTTCTAAGCAAGTCAACCATTCACCACCCCTGTGAAAATGAAGAAAATATTAAAATGGCCAGTGATGAGAAGCATAGTCAAAGAAAGATTTCTTTAAAGCTCCCTCAATCTTTTTATCTAGGCAGTTCCTAGGTGTCTCATGGCCCTCTAGTGGAAGGGATGCTCAGCTGGACCCCAAGACAACTGCAGGATTTACTTGGGAGATCAACTCCCAGAGGGAATTGCTTGTCCACAGGTAATCTCTACAGTTTGGATATATAAGGTGGTATTGAAACAACGGCATTTCTGGAGTTTTCCAGATATGAGCAATTCAAGGTGCTATTAAATTCGTGATGAAACAGGCACCCCAGTTTGATTTCAGGCATTTCTGTTGAGGATGGAGTTAATCTGTTTCTTAAACACCTTTGAAGCCAGGTTAAGTCAAAAGTTAACTCTTTTCTAACTGATTTTGCTAGTTAAACTTCTCACACAGAAGGAGGCTGCTTCAGCTCCTAATCTGTGGTCTGTGCTATTTGCTCTCCTTTTAGAGATTTGGAGCAAGATTTCAAAGGCAAAAATGACAGTTAAGTACTCAATTCCCATTGTCTTTCTATGGGAGATAGGTAGCTAACTGTCCATTTTAATCTTTGAAATCTCTTCTGTCTATAGTAATTATTGCCCTTTCTGGGTAATTTCAGTTTCTGGTACCTGTCTCACTTTTTTTTTAGGAGGGGGCCGAGCGATGGAGGATTCAGCCATTTTTCAAGCCTCCATGAATGATTTGTTTAGGAGGGGAGTTAACTCCAGTAGAAGAGAGGAGGAGTCAAATGCAAAACTGAAGCTGGAGGTACCTGCAGTTGGTTGTCTCTTGCCTCCTCTATAATTTTAGACCCAGTCAATAACTTTCATTTAGCTCTCTTCCTAAATGTTTAAAAAGCAATAAAATAAATCCGTTTGGTAGGCACCTTTGGCCCCTGTATCTCTCCCTGTGTCTCTCTTTTGCTTTGTCTGTCAGTCTTCTCTTTAAAGCCTGGACCGCTGCTGGCTTAGCGCTCAAAGTACGTGAAACACAAGCCAAGCATAAAAGCTCAGAGTTTCAGAAGGTGTTGGACATGAGCAATCAGTTTATTCTTTCCCATTTTCTTCCTAGGACTTCAGTTAGCCTAGATCAATATAAGAACGTTATGTTTGTTGAAAAAAAAAGTCCTTATAGAAACATTCCGTCGTATTAGTAACTTCACACTGCCAAAAAGGCAGAGAGTTACCTGAGAAGTCAGGCTTTGGACTGGGAGAGTTTCTATGATCCAGTGGGTCACAAGTTCTTACTCTTTGCTTGATTTCTGCTGCCTGTCAATAGCTGAGGGGGAAGCACAGTCTTTCATTTACAGACTAGTAGACTGTGTATAGAACAGCGAAACAGAGCTGTGTTATGTCAAAGGCAACAATTATTGCTATGTCAGGACGTATGTATTGTCAGGATCACACATTTAATATTCTGCTTGTCCACACATGTACAGGTACCAGAAAAAGACCAAAAGGAATGAATGGTGTTTGGTGTAAAATAAGCTACAGAGCAAAGAGAATGCCAGAATGTAGCTTAAACTGATACAAAATACATTATTTTTACCTGCCAATTTTCTTTTCAGAGGTGTTTTGAATACATTTTATTTTTAAATTGGATGTTTCCTACTTTTATACTCCTGGCAGGGAGAATCGCCACTCGATCTAGCAAAACAAAGGAAAAATGTTTGGATGATCAATCACCTACAGGAAGCAAGACAAGCAAAGGGATATGACAGTCCATCTTTTCTGAGAAAATTAAAAGCTGATAAGGTAGGTAGTAGTGCAGCACTTAGGTAAAGCAGTATTACTGCTGCTGTTGGTTTGAGGGCGTATGTGTATATTTAAGGTAAGCAGTTCAGTACTGTGGTCTCCCTGTATTTCAGTTTTGTTATGACCCAAGTAATTGTAAAAAAAAAAACCAACAAAAAAAATGTATTTAGCAGGAGGAGATAAAGCCCTGCACATCCTTGCAGTTACCTTTAAGTTTTTGTGCTAACTAAATGTTAGGAAAGTACGAGATGGCCTCGTACGGGTGGGGATAGCCAAGACTTTCACAAAGTTGACTCTCAAGTATCTAAGGAAAGAAGCGTTTTAGATGTCCTGAACTCTGATCTCCTTTCTGCTGTGTGTTGAATGAAAGAAGCAGTTGGTCTTAGGGGTATAATTAATATATGAATCTCTAATGTGGAGGCCTTTTTCTTCTCAGGTTATTATTTAATACTGCAGATAGGAGTAGGCAAGAAATGAAGGTATAAAGGGTAAACATATTGCTCTAGCATGAAGAACTGTTTACCTGCTTATAGTTTGATATTCTATGTAGAGTTACTATTTTCTTAGCAGGCAGAGTGTTGTCCTGGGTGTTAAGTCTTGCTATCACTGACTTGTTCCAAGTTCTTAACATGAAGATGCATTGGATCTTGATGATTAAAGCACTGGCTACAGCCTCTGCTTTAACCCTTTGGTAATATAACAGTGCAGCAATTATTGACTTTGATCATTGCATTGCGTTGTGTGCACATGTGCATTGGGACTGCACTTTGAATAGCTGGAAGAACTTCAGTGCCTGCATCAGGAGCTGCATCCACACAGTACAAGACAAAAAAGGCCCTATCTTTTTTCACAGATGATTCAGTATGACTTATCTATTGCTTACATGACTTCCGTCTTTAAAGTTCGGTAAGATTACCATGTGCTCTGTAAGAATCCGTCAAAGTATATAAACTACTAACAAAGAGCTACTGTTGCCTTTATTCTGAATCAACAGTAAAGGGTCTAAAAGGTGGTTCTTCTAAAATAAATAAATACATAAAATTATTGACTTACTGTAAAATGTTAGGAAGATTTTTCTTCCCCATCCACTGGAGATATGTAAATACAGGAAATGACAACAATTTATGAAGGTTCTTCCCCGTATGCCATGCTTCCTGAAAATTTAAGGTTTCGTGACTGTCCTGTTTATTGCAGAATATTATTATACAACCTGTTCCTAGAAAGAGAATTACTTACTGATATTTGTTTCTATGTAGGAATTCCGTCAGAAGGTGATGCTGGGAACTCCTTTCCTAGTAATTTGGCTGGTTGGGTTTATAGCAGACCTAGACATTGATTCTTGGCTCATTAAAGGGCTGATGTATGGTGGCGTTTGGGCTATGGTGCAGTTTCTTTCAAAGTAAGTGTCTTACCAGGCAATTGTCTGTTTAGAGTGCACACGAGAAGTATTTTGCTGGTATCTTTATTGGATAATTCATCTTAACTTACTATTTTATATATGTTTTTTTCAACATGCTACATTTATTTCTCTGCTGGAATTTTGTTTTATTGCTTTTTCTGGGAAAGCTTTTGTGTAGCTTTAGCTCTTGTAATGCTCTGTTGTCTTGCAAATAGCCATGGAATTACTTTGGGTGAATACCAAGCACTGAGATAATGGAAGTTAACAGCAGAACAGAAATTCAATCATTCTCCAGAGGAGGGTGCTAAGTATCTGTCTACAAAGAGCATGAATTGTGAAGAAACAGTCAAGGGAGAAGTTATTAGAGAGAAATAGAAAAAAAATGTCTGTGCACATTTGCTTTTAAAATCCAATTTTTTACAGTTTAAATGCCCAAAAGCATTTCATAAGATTTGTATAGAGAAAATAAGTCAGTGTCAGATTTTGTAGCTTCTGTTGTTGTGGAAAACGGTGACACAAGAAAAAGTCTGCCTTTTAATAATGTTTTTCATTTGCTGTGTAAACACAAAGAATTTTGGTTGTGTTTGTGATTAATTATCTGTAAATGCACTTGCATATGCACGCACACACGCACTCAGGCATGCTCCAACAGATTTTCAAGATTTGTAGACTACATCTATGCTTTGCTTTTCATTGTCATGTGTGGCATGTATAGAAGCAGTTATATGTTCATACTTGTGAGCTTTCTGCTTTTCTGACATTGAATGTCATGTTTATTAGAACCACTTGCTTCTCCTTCCTTTTCATTTAAAGAGAAACATAAAATATATCTGTTCCTTAACCCAAATTCATAGAATCTTAGCGAACTTAGTACACTAGGAGGGGGTTGAGGGAGCATCAAGCTTTTGTCTCTCCAGGATCTTGGAGATGATCTCTTTAGTCTTTTTGCCGTCTCTGAGGCTGTGCCATCTGCTGACCTCCTCCACGGGTAGTTTACTCGGCAAGGCAAATCCTCAGCCATGCCTCCTGCAGGCAAGGACAAGATTTCCTCAAGTTTCTCAAAATCTATGTTTTGTCAAGCTTTATATTTTTGACCTACCTAGTGCACATTCAGGATTAACATTTTTACTTTCTCTTATCCTTTGCTTAATGTTTAGTGTAAGTGCTTTTTCAAAGTGTTTTTCACAAAGCCCAGATTTGAATGAAACTTTTGCTGTTAATCTAGTAGTTTTTCCTTTCCTTGTTGAATCTTAGCTAATCTGCTTAGCTGCCTTTTCCTTCCTCCTCCTTTCACAGGAGAGAAGGCACAGAAATCACCGAGAGATTACTGCTGAGTAGCTACTGTACATCCAAATGTATATTTGCTTATTATTTGCCATCTTAGCTCTTCTTCCTTATATGATTTTCTCAAAAGACCTGAGAAGACCTTCATATGAGGAAAGACAGTTACGAAAAGGGAGTAAAGGAGTAAAATGGAAACTGCTCCATGCACACATTTGTCCTTGGCAGCCCTGAAGGCACCACCAGGACAGAGAGAAAAATGCATCAGTTTAAGGATATTTAGGCAGATGATGGAAGTTTTATTTCAAGGAGGTTGGAGTTAAGAGTGTGACTTTTGATAAATTTAGCAAATTTTTCTTGAATGTGCGGTTACCTAATCACTGACCTAGTTTGTGTCAACTAAATTAAAAAAACAATTTCAGAATATTCTTTAAAATGCAGGAGTATTAGAAGGAAAAAAAAATCCAATGGCTTCATGTTTTATTTTTTATTCAAGTCACAGCATTCTGTCTTAGAACTTGACAAATCTATTGATATGGGGAAATGAATTAACCTGGGTGTTTTTTCCTACTTTCTATTGGCAACTGCAACAGAAGCAAAAGATTCAAGAGTTTGAAATATTTCAAGTGTGTAAGCTGGTGACACCAAGATCTCTTAAGCTTTTTTCTTGCTGAAGTACTTTCAAAGTGCAGTTTTCATGGTATGAATTTCAAAAGCATCTTTCGATACTGAAAGCAGTGAAATCTCATAAGTAAGTGTAGTTCACAACCAGTGTCCATGCTGTAGGCTAGGAATCTCACAGATTTCTAACTGTTTTCTCAGTGTAGTTTTAACATGAGTATTTACTCACTTTCCCTTTCTTGTCCAGTTCTTGACATTCACTTCAAAAGTGAATATATAAATTTTAATTAAATAACTTTCAGTCACGACCCTTCATGTGGACAGGTTGAAAATGAGAATTTCTCATGAACTTTGAAGATAAAAGTGAAGAAAATGTTTTTATGATGTATTTTGCAATATCCCATATAGCATGTTTTAACAGGAAATGTTTCTTGGAAGCAGTAGTTCAGGATTTATGTTTTATAAGTCAAAACTTACGTGACATTGCTCCTGCTTTACAGGTCATTCTTTGATCACTCCATGCACAGTGCACTGCCTCTTGGAATATACTTGGCAACGAAATTCTGGATGTATGTGACGTGGTTCTTCTGGTTTTGGAATGATATCCTTTTTTGTGTACAGTGTTATTTTTTAATTATTAATAGTATGAGCTAATACGTAGATACATCCTACATACAAGAGCAGTAAACTTATTAAGTTTTTTAAATGGCTATCTCTGTTAAAAATTGCTTTCTATATTGATGGCAATTATTTTATTGCTTTAAAAATGTGCATGCTATTGCTTTGCTTCAGTAAGTGAAAGCATTTTCTCAAAATTAGCTTACAGTAAGCAGTTTGCAAAAATTTCCTGTGCTTTACCAGTTTCTTAAGTGGGAGAAACGTAAGCAACTCTATAAAAGATGCTCTGGCTTTGAAGTGACAAGGTGTAGTTGACTGCTTTTCTGAAAAGCAGGAGGTAATTTCATGATATATATTTATTCCATTGTTGTTATCTTCCTAAATAATTTGAAAATTCAATTTCATACAAACTTTAGATATGTTTGTTAACTGTATTTTTACTTTTGAAGATGCGCGTTTTGATAACACTAGATTATGAAGATTCAGCCTATGCCCATCTTTTTATGGTTTTGACTGTCTGCCTAGATATGGACTTTGCATGCACACAGGAGTAGAAATTAATTCAGAGTTCACTAAAGAATGTCAGTTATCCACCTTAAGGAAATAGATGCAACTTTTTGAACAACTTTCTTGGGTATTATAATTACAGTAACAAAAAAACCTCAGAGATTTAATGTTTTACTAAATTAATACAGTTCTTGTAAAATGTTGAAGTGAATTTAGTATTTATGGTGGATGTTGAGTTGACTTTTCTAGAAGCTGATTTTCTTTTCATCCTCAAAGAATTACCATGAAATAGGATAGTAGCAGTGCAACCGTTTTATCAACATGTTAAGTTTTTATCCAGCCTTAGCTAAATGAGCCTCACAGTTTTGGGTTGGGAACAGAAGAAATCCTGCATCCAGGCTTCTGTGCTGACAGTCTTCAGAAAGGTGCTGCTATGAAGAATAGCAGCCCCGTGTGATTGGAGATGATTCCTATTTCATGTAAACATGTAAACTCTAACAATAAAAATCGAGTATTTGTTAAGTATATAAAAAAAGAAAATTCTACCAGTATCAGCATGAGTATGTCTTGAAATAAGTATTTAGAAATGCTGGTCCTGTTACCAGTCTCCCTGCCTGGTTTTTTTACTCTTAATTAGCTAATAAGTGCAGAATGAGCAAAGTGAGTACAAAATGACTATGAGACACGTTTTAAAAAGCAGTAGTTGAAAATGAAGATATACTTTTCCAGTTTTTGTGGAGTGGGGTAGAACTGTCTAAATATGTCAGGCCTCGAGACTGAAGTTGCTTTTCTGTTCTTTTTGTTAAAAACCTTGATTTTTGGCAAAGAGTAAAGTACAAGTTTCTGAGTCAGTTATAACAACGGCACCATCTCAGTTCTGAATCTCAGTTCTCCATACCTCACAGGTTTTCTTTAGAAACTCAGGTTCGCGAATAGCTACTACATGGTTTGGATTTACAAATGTTGAGGTACTGTTGAGCTCCTTCCTTGTGCTGACCTGCTATCAGCTTGGACCAAATCTAAGGCTGTGTGCAAATAAATCAAAGGAGGTTCATGACCATAATCAGTTGCACAGCAAACACAACCTGATGGTGGCCTCTGTCTTGATGTAGAAAGCCATCACTTAAGGTTGGCAAATTGTGAGGCTTTTATCCTGAAGCCTCATGTTTGCACCAACTTGCTTAGATTTTTTATTTGTGTTCACCATTCATGATCAGCGTAACTTCAAGTTTGGAGAGTTGTTTTTTTTTGGTCACAGAATAACATTAATTGTCCACTAAAGGTAATAGCCATAGACAATTGATTGCCCTAATAGAGTCTGACTTCAGAACGTCAATAAAATACTGTACTGCTTCTGTAATTTAAGGTAGGTGCCTCAAAACCTTTGCAACCGTCTTTTTTGTACAGAGAAGTAGTAGTCTAAAAACATCAGCTACTAATTGCTTTCATTAGAGCTGACACAATTCTCTGACAAGCAGTTTTAGAGACTTAGTGCTTGAGGCCTTCTTCCTTTAATTGGCGATTTTTAATTGGAAGTCTTTGTAAATAAGATTCCAAATTCATTCTTCTTCTTCTGGAAAATTGCCCTGTAGCTTTATTGGAAAAAAAGAAGTTGCATGCCTGCTCTATTTTTATAGCATGAGGCACAGCATTGTGGTTGGAGAAAGGATTCTTGTATTTTTACAGCTTTATATTATTACTTACAGCAGACCAGAGTACTACTTCATAGTTGGTAATGTTCAAGTGAAAAAACCTGATCTGGTAGTTTTCACAAATTCTGACTGTCTTTTGCTCAGGAAAAAAAGAAATTGTAACCTTAAACAGCTATGACAAATTTCATTACCAGAACTTTGTATTATAAGTAAAATAAAGGTCTTAATTGCTGCAAGTGTTACATTAATATTCAGATGCTTGGTAGAATTTTTGTTTTGTTGTAGATATGTCCGAGGTGTCTGGAAGATCATCTGGTCTTCTTGATTTGATTGTAATGAGACAGAAAAGGGCAGTCAAAACAATGGATCGTAAAGAACAAACCAACCCAAAGATTAGCAGTTAATTTTCTTGAATTTCAGGGTTGGATACATGAAAAACAAGACGGTAAATTCTAAGGCTTAATGATACGTCTTCTAAAAGACCAATCTTGAACGACAAGACGGTAAATTCTAAGGCTTAATGATACATCTTCTGAAAGACCAATCTTGAACATAACTTCAAACAAATTAATGTAGTGTACTGAATTTTTGTAAATGTTTCCATTCCACTGGATTTGTCTCAGCAGCTTCTGAGTCTGGTATATCAGTTAGAATAGAAATCCTATTCTTGCCGGGAATGAGGAAGTTACAATTTGTGTATTTATGGATATATGAGTCTATGGTCCCCTGCTTTGTGTTGCTGTTTTGCTGCTTCCCTTTAACTGTATTTTGTCCATAGCAAAGGATAGTTACGTCTTTCTCTGTTTGTGTCTTCCAATTTCCTACTGTTTGCAGAGTAGAAGGAAAATACCCTCAAAAATCCTTCACACTAAATCACTATAATTTAGTTGAATTTTTAAAGGAAAAAAAAAAAAAGCATGTAAGTGTATAATTTTAATAATGTGAAATTAGAATTTCACGTTTTGTTCTTTTTCATTTCATTTATAGTGAGACTCTTCAGTCGTGTCCTGTAGAAGTTCAGGGCACATGTACTGGTTCATATCTCAGTTGTTCGTGCAGTCTTTTTGCTTCCAGCTGAAAAAATAGTGTCTATTATGTCAGAAGATTCTTATATTGCTCTGTTTTTCTAAGATATCAGGGTTTGCTGTAACCCAGAATCCTGACAATATTTTCTTTGGTTCTACCCCTTCCAGTTGATGCAAATGGGAGTGTGCACTTTTCATTAAGTAAGCCTTTTTGGTAGGGCGTGCTATGTGCAGTGCTGAGATAATGAGATGATATAAGCCAGTTTGTAATTTTAAAAATAATTTATGATTGACTAATACGGTATTGATTATCTTATTTCAGATATGCATCATGTGTTGTTGAGTTTTAGGTGAAAGAAAACAAGCACTGCACACTTTCAATTAGGGATGATTTTGAAAACTGACTGTTAGAGGATTCATGATGACTTCCATGCTTTCGCAAAGCTTTTATGATAGCATAATGTTTTAAAAGCTGTAACAAGCCAACTGATGCAGTTAAGCAGTTAAAACAAAGATAAACCCCAACCCATTCATACCACCAAAATTAGCTTCAGGAAGATGGCAAAAAAGCACCTTGCTTTCAGAATGAAAGAAGCCGGGAGCCACGTTTCTAGAGGAGCCAAAGACCTCAAAAGTGCAAAACCCAAGCTTGCTTGGGCTATCTCTACTATATAAGGTACATGATTAAAGTTTTAACTTCACTTGCCACTGTTTTATTATTAGGAATTCACAGCCAGTTCTTCCACCCAGCGAAAGGAAAACAAAAGTTATTTGGGATACTCTTCACATGAACAATGTGACTTTGTTAGTGTTTCACAAGTTGAAAAGAGACCTTCATATTTCAAGATTCTTTCATACACAAGAGCAGTGTAGAAAAATTTGAGATACTTACTGGTATCCTATAGAAATTCTGGGGTTTTTTTGTTTAATATTTGCTTATATTTACCATGTAGATTTGTTTATTAATGGTTTATGTAATTTTTTTTCTTCATACTGCTTAATGCCTTCAATAAACATGGTTTTCCAAGAATAATCAAACAGAATAGAATACACTTGTAAGTATATGGTAGAATATATTTGAGTATCTATTCTAACTTCATAATCTGATTTTTTTTGAAAGCATGCAAAAATTTTTTTTCATTATCGTCTTTAAAGTGTTACATACCAGTTCAGGACAGATTGCCACATGCCTGTGTTATAATGCAAACACACAATATATTAACCTTTAATTACAGTAGAAGTTCTACTGACTACTGCAGTATAGGGAAATAACTCACCTAGGTTACTCAGAATGTAGTGTAATTTGGATGTGCTGTGATTTGTGCCTGAGTAATAAATGTCCTTTTTGCCTGGATAGTGCTGTAGAGGCTCCTACCCCCACAGCTTTGTTAAATATGGCATCTCCTTGCAGTTATGACTGATAACTGGCCGTTATCTTTACTCAGGCTGGTCAGGTCTTTTGTACGTCTATCAGAACAAGTAATTTTCCACCTTTTGTGGAAGTGGCACGTCTAAAGCATTTGGCTTTTCAGCATCATGGCTAAGAAATGTTTTAATTCTGTGAAGAAATGTCAAGTGTTGTAAGACTGGGCATGGTATACAGCAAGTCATTCAGCACAGGAAATACGTTGTAGAACTAGCCGTTACTTTCTGTCTTTATATGGTAATTGATTTATATGAACACTTCCAGACAACGCTGAATCTTGTGGTTTTGTAAGTATTAGCTGTATTAGTATGTTAAAAATAGCTTTTGTTGATGTAAAGTATGACTGTCCCTTTACACCAGGACGTGGTTTCAGACAGTACCTTTCTTGGAGGTGGGTGGTGTTGGGATGCGGCCGCCGTGCAACAGTGGTCATTTCAGCAGAGCTCCTTCTGTGGCTCGGAGCAGTCCTTTCTGTGAGCCAACGGGAATTTAAAGCCACTGAAAACATAGTCAGTCAAATGGCTATCTTATAAATAGAGCTCTGCAATGTTTGTTGTGAAAACAGGAAATTCTTTTGAGAAGATAAATTTAACGGAATTCAGTTTATTTGAAAGGGAAAATAATTACAAAAACTGAACCATCGTTACTCATTCTTTAAAAGGGTAAGTGCTTTAGAAATGCCTCATGGAGAAGAGCATTTTAAAAACTTAAGTTTTCAAGTTTGAGCAATAGAAAATACTGAGTACGGAACTAGTTCTTAGAGCAGCACTGAATTTTGTTGATTTGGAAGACGGTGAGTGACTCAAGGGTATTTGTAAAAAGTTAAGGGTTTTTTATTTTTTTTATATATTTTTGAGAGGAAAATTAGTTTTAAACTTTAGATTCCTTGACTTCAAACACATCTCAATTTTTTCTTTATACATCTTCCATTCCTCGCTAATAGTGTTGCACTTTTCTACAATTTTGGGAAATCCTGGAAATCTGATCCAGGAATCATCAAAGCCACGGAAGAGCAAAAGAAAAAGGTAAAGCTGTGAGCTACGTGAAACCTGAGCTTCAGCAGCCTGCCACCAGTTGATCAGTGTAGTTCGCTGCTCTGTACATGAAATTGCAATAAATTGATGTATAACAAAAGGTCTAAAATGTTAAAAGTTTTTCTTACACTTGTTATCCAGGTTTCTTTTTTTTACATTTGGAATATATATTCAAGTGCTTACTGCTCCAAAGTTACTTCTAGGTCATTTTGAGTAACAGAATCACAACTTAGATTTCCAAGGTAAAAAAGTTATAAAGCAGTTGAGTGAAAATGAAAACAAGAAGTTTCAGAGTTTTGCCTTACTGAAACAAATGACCCATTATGGGATAAGTGTTAGTTAATTTGATTATAAAAAAGTTTCCAGACTATAAGCACCTCTACTTTTCTTTAACTTTGTGTCTAAAAGTATTAGACTGACTGTGGATAAAAATAATCAAAACCCCAGGCAGTCTGTGGTGAATTTTTTTTTCTTTTGGTTTAAGTATTTGAGAAAATATGCATAGTCCAACAATATCTTTCTAAGATATTAAAACACTGTTTTTAGCATTTCTGATTTTTTTTGTTGTTGTTGAAGTACTGTGTCCCCAGCAGCCAAACTCAGTGCTGAATATTGCAAAATCATACAAGCAGCAAAAACATTTTGTTTGTTTCATTTGGGGCAAGTTTTCTAGAAGCTCACATCTCACCAGCAGAGGTGTTGTACTTCTACTTCATGCTCTTTTGCAAAAACACCTCTGTGGATTGACATTGGAATTATGGCCTTATGTAGGGATAAACATATTAGCCTGTAAAAGATGGTTGTAATAACTAAGTGATGTTTGGTTTCTCTGATAGATTATTACTGGGTTGATTTACTTTTGCAAATCCCCTTCCCGTTATTGCAGCTTTGCTGACGTAAGGTCCAAACTAATTTCTTTTCCTTCAGCTGGGCTAAATTAAATAGAAGAGTCAGCAACTGCACTTTGGTTTGGATTCAGCAAATTGCACAAATAAGCAATTCATTTGATCTACTTGTTTAAGTAGTTAAGTGTGGTTGCAAAAGCTTTGCTGAAATGGATAGAAATTGTAAAATTCAACTTCTTCTATCAGATGCAGATGGCTAGTAATGTTTTGGATGTCTTACATTGCAGTTAAGCAAGTTGCAAAATGATCTATTATCAGGGACATTAACTACTGTAGGGTACTTGTCTTACCTTTGTGTAGTGTACTGCTTTCTCATGTTCTTGTAATTTGTTTCCAGATGTTTTATGCTGAGTTAGCCTTTAGCCTTGGAATAAGCAACCAAAAAATTCTTTTAATTGCAAATGACCAAGTTAAGTATGTTTGGAAATGTGTAGTAAGCAACAACTTCAAATGTTTGTTCTATTGATATGTCATGTCCTTCCTTCTGTGTTACAAAATAGCCCAAGTGATTCTTAAAATAAGTAAATGAATAATAAATAAACAGTTCCAAGTTTTCAAAATCAAATATTAATAGTTCAAAAGCACAAAAAATAGACCTAGTGCTTAAAAACAAAAATGATGTGTCTCTGACTTGAGTACTCCTGGGTCTCTGTCCTGTAATCTCTAAGGAGAGTTACATGTAAGTGCTTTATCTGCTCTTCTTCAGTTCGGTTCTCCTGAGCTTTGGGGTCTTGCTTGTTGACTGAACTGACTTACGCACCGCCCCGTGTACGTTCCTTTGAGCGTTCTTTCATTAGTCTGTAGTGTGGTGTATATTCCCACTCAGATCAGCAGAACTATTTATGTAATTGTCAAAAATGTATTGCAGGAAATTGTCCAAGGTATCAAATAGCACACCAGCAACGTTGAAATCATGCTAGATACATCTGATTGTTTTTTGTTTTTTTTTACTTCTGTTCATCTGGTCTATTTACGAAGTTACTGTGAAGGGAGGCCCCTCGTTTCAGGTCTGGTAGTGGGAAAAGTTAGAGCAGCGAGGGATGGTGGCGGTGGAAGAGGAAGGGCTGCAGAGTCCCAACGCTGGCAAACTGCAGGAGGGATGTGGAAGGGCTTGTGAGTGGCAGGGCTTGGTTGGAGAAGGGATCTCAAAGGCACCACTGGTGGAGGCAAGAATACTGGGCAGATGGAAGTACAACAAGTGAAGAGAAATATAGTCCAACTTTCGGAGCTTACAGGTGTTAGAAAACTGTAAGGATTGTTCCTCATTTGCCTGAGATCAGCAGGGAAAGCGTTAAGACACTGATTTACTCCCTGACTGTTGACTGTAGCTTTTACTGGTTACTTTGAGGAAAAGCTTCCATAAATTTTTCCTAACCAGTTATTGAATATCGTATTTTGGAGGAGAACTTCTGTGGCTTCAGGCAAGGTACCCACCGTAGTAGTTATCATGTGAATAAGAAAGTTGTGTTTTTATTGCTGTGATGAGAATGTAGTTGTAAGGACTGTTTTATTGCTTCTGCAGTTAGAAACCACCTTGATGTGTATGATAGGTGTGGTTTGAAAGGGACCCTACTTGCCATTAGACTGTTTATGCTGAGCGAATTCCTTCTGGTTCAAGTAAGACAATTCTGGCAAAATATTTCCAGAGTATTTTCCACACATTGCAAATATCATTGAAGTCTCACATGGCATGAATTCAACTGCTGGGTTTTAAAAATCATTGGAAACCGTTAAATGGAATAATAGATTCCTTCTATTCCAACAATGAAGTGAGTACTGAAGGAGGGTACAAAATGAAAAAGAAGCTATCATGTAATGGGAAGGGATAGGCAGACCTTAATTTACTTATGGGTATCACTTGACCCAAAAGTGTAGTAGTACCTGTAAGAGAAGGTTTGGATTGCATTATTTCTTTTCTTTCTTGATGCTTCAGCATCTCAGGAAGGAGGCGAATATAGATTTAAAAAGGTTTTGTTGGGCTATCTCTAGAAAGAAAGTCTGGGTTTTGCACTGGCTGATCCTGCTAGCTAGTTCTGTTCATATTCCAGTTTGGAAATTCAGCTGCATTCATTTTAATAGGTTTAACAACAGGTTAGTGAAACTGGTGTTAATCACTGTGTGGATATATCAAAGTTAATATAAGCTTGCTTTTTCTCTAATTAAACCTATATATGCTAGGAATAAGTGTAACCTAGAATTAATTTGGAAGTAAATGTGCGTGGTAGTTTAATAACCTAAGTTTTAAATCAGTTTCAGCTGAATTTCATTTGTTCACATCTGTAGAAAGCACTTGAAAATATAATAGAGTTCACAACCCTGGGCCTGAAAACTGTAATAGCAATTCAAATGGTTGTCAGCATTTGTTTATATGCTAAATTCTGATTATTTTTTTTCCTCTTTTTTTCTGCAGACAATAGTAGAACTTGCAGAGACAGGAAGTCTGGACCTCAGTATATTCTGCAGTACCTGCTTGGTAGTGTCTTTTTTAATCAATTGCAGCACTGATTTCTGTTTTGTTTTGTTTTTAAATGCCAGGCCAAAGTTAGATGTTTCTATACTAAATGCATTTTTGGCCTTAATAACGCAATTTTAAGTGCAAGTCTTATTTGAAGTCTTTAATTTAGGCAGTATTTTCAATAAATAATATATCTGTACATGAAACAACCTGCAACAATAACAGGAAAAAAAACAATAGTTGGGGAAATAACTTGATGGTGTTGAACTTCCAAGTATGATATATCTGTCAAAATGCTTGGCTGTATACCTAAGCAGTTGTGAAAATCACAGGTGACACTGCCACCTCTGTAACTCACAGGAAAATTAATTGATGCTTCTAGTAAAATATTTTTTAAACTATATTTCTCAGTCTGGCACTGATTTTTGTGAACTTTGACAAATTGCAAGCAATACATTTCTCTGACTAGTCAATACTTAGTTTAACCACAGAAACATTACAAGGAAATAACTTCTTAAGGAAAAAAAAATTAACCGTAGTAAAATGTAATGCAGTTAGTTTTTTTTCTAGAAAGTTAACTACTAAATATAAAATTATCAAGGTTATCAGTGTTACATTATAATGCTGTGACCTATGCAGAGCATGAATGATCTTCATGTTCCCAAAATTGAATCTGGAAAATAATGTACAGTTGTGCCACCTTAAAAATTGTGTATATGTATATACATACATATCTCAGAACATTTTAATATCAGTTCATTATTTATTGCCATTTTTATATTTCTTTCAAAACATTTTACAAAGCTATTGGAAATAAGTTCCACTTGTTGAGTTGTATTCTTTAGAAAATAAGCCAGTAGAGCTCAGTCACAAATGATACTGACAGAATCGTGGAACTCAAACTTATTCTTTATCTTCATTGTTAAAAAGCTGAAATGTAACTGGTTGTTATGCAAAGCTCGATAGCTGGAGGGGCTAGGAGAACTTTGTATGAAAAAACCCATCCTTTATATAAAAAAATACTGTGAAAATCATTTCAGTGTGATTGTTTAGATGTTTAGGTTAAATAATGTAGAGATTAAGCTTAATAGCTGAGTGCTTTGAAAATGAGCATCAAATTCAAAGTTGTCTAAGTGGTTAACAATAGAAAAATCAACTTACATTTAAATTGAGAGGGTTTTTTTCCATTTAAAATAGGTCAGAGATTTTGCTTTCCTAAATAAATATTAATAACCGTTACAGATACGAAAGCCAGTGAGGTCCAAACACTGTGGTGTTTGCAATCGATGTATAGCGAAGTTCGATCACCACTGCCCATGGGTGGGTAACTGTGTAGGTGAGTACTTTGCTAAAATACAATGTCTTAACAGGTGAAGAAGGGAAGAGCTTCTGAAATCGATACTGGGTTTTGTGCAGGGATTTGTCCTCATTTCACAGTGAAAGTCACTTGGCTTCTGCCAAAGTCTGAGAAGAAAACGTTGAGGACTTTTGGTAGAAGGAAAAAATGTATTCAATATTGAGCATAATTTTTTTTCCTACATGCAATTCTCTGCATTATTCTTACTGGCATTGCCATCCTCAGAATTGTTCTGTTTTCTATGTATATAGTTTCAAAGCTTAACTGCTTTTTAATGTCTGCAGAAAAAGCACATACCAATTCTGCATCTGACTGTTAGCCATTGCATAAGATAAAAATTGTCATCACTACCACTACTTTTCAGTAATTTAATGGGAAAATAGACATACTCAAAAATGTCATTCTTATAGCAGTTAGCTACAGAATTACTTCCTATTGAGGTATTCTCCTCTTTTTGACCCCCCAGGTAGTCATTTATTCTCCCCAGTTAGGATGAAAGGAACAGATGCAGAACAGGAATAAAGTCTCTAAACGCTACTCTTCCCTGTCATACTTTTTTTTGAAAATCTTATTTGAGAGCCGTTATTATGCAGGGAGCACTGGAGACTTCACAGCTAGGAAATGAGTGCAGCTTACTTCACTGGTTTATTTTTTAGGACACAAGCAGAGGTAACTTTAATCTTGGGGAGGAATTAGGACCTGGATTCCTGGGCAGCTGACAGGCGGTAGAAATTTCATTGTAGTCCTTCCAAATATATCTCTATATATAGATATATAGATGGATAGTCACACAGTAGTTCAGTCTTATGATCTGGAGTAAAATGGTCAATGCTGGGATTTGAATTTTAATAGAATATCACTGAAGTCTCACTGAGATGGACTTTTATCACTCTCTTCTGTTTTATATTTCCTACCAATGTTTGTACCCGAGCTACTTTGGATTTTTTATATATTTGGCAGTGAAGAGCTAAGACATTTTTAATTAAAACATTTTAATTAAAAAGACAGAGGAGCATGGGCTCAGGTTTCAGAGAGGATTCAGTGACTGTTTGTTTTGCAATAGTGCTGAGGAGTGCTCATTAATGAGACAGAAAGATCCAGTATTTTGATCAGTAACTGGAAAAGCATATAAAACAGATGGGAGAAGAAAGACGATAGTTTGTGTGTAACGAGAGTATGTGACTAGTGAGATTAAGTTAGGTGGAGAAAATATTTTTTAAAAAAAAATAATAGTGGTGTAAAAGCATTCTCATACTAGTGGTTTTGTACAGACTGTGATAAGTGGAGGTAAAAGAAAACATGAGGATGCTTGAAAGTAAACGAGATGCATTTGTGTGAATTGCAACTGTAATGTGACAGAAGTTGAAGAAAAAGCATTGCTTTGTTGTCTGGGAGCTGAAAAAACAAATCAGAAGTAAACCAGTTAATTTCACTGTCTTCAAGTCATATCTGCTTGATACTTGAGAGTAATGTTTCTGTATGCAATTAGAAGTAGTGCTTCTAAGGAAGCAATTGAACCTTCTTTGAATACCATATAAATAAAATACTAACAGTCCCTCTGCTGTAGTGTTGTCTTTCTCCTGAAAGTCGAGTAATTTGGACCCTGTTGTTGTGCAACTTTAGGAGCAGGGAACCACCGCTATTTTATGGGATACCTGTTCTTCCTGCTTTTTATGATCTGCTGGATGATTTATGGATGTATCTCTTGTGAGTAAATGTGGTTTTTTGGCTTTTATTTAATTGTTAATAAATATTTTATCTCCTGGTATGGATTTTTAAAGATTTCTGCCTTATTAGAGTTTTGGATATTTTTATTCTGGAATTGAACTGCATTTTAATAATTGACCATATTGGGTATTCTAGGTTAGAATACGATGTTTTTCTTGCCTTAGATTTTTTTTTTCTTCATCACAGCCAAGTATGTACATATGTCATGTATTCAAGGAGTTGGGAAAGGAAGAGGCAGCAAGTAAAAACTTATTTTGGCACATTGTTGTTTTCTTATTTAATGTATTACATTCTAATGTGGGCATTATGTTGATGTACAGTAAATATACCTCATATCTTCTGTACGGCTTTGATACTTGTTTTTTCTCTAGACTGGGGTTTCCACTGTGAGACAAGTTATGCAAAGGATGGATTTTGGACCTATATTACACAGATTGCTACCTGTTCTCCATGGATGTTCTGGATGTTTCTGAACAGTGTTTTTCACTTCATGTGGGTGGCTGTGTTACTCATGTGTCAGATGTATCAGGTACGCAAGAGTATTTTGTAATGCTGAGTCTTGAGAGTGACGTAAGAATATCAAATGGTTCTGTCATTTGTATTTTTATGTTCATTATGCAAGAGCAAATATTTAGGCTCTCAGCCACACTGGAGGCAGCTGTCTCTGGATATTAGGCATCACTCACTTTTCTTGAACTTGTGCTTTTTTCTTTTTTTTTTTTCTTTTTTTTTTTTCTTTTTTTTTTGCAAGAGGTTAAAATACCTACCTCCTGCTTTCCAAAAGCTAAAAAAGCAAAATAGACCAGGAAAAGACAATAAAGACTAATGGAGGATAAGATCTGTTGGTTGAACTTGGAATAATTCGCTATGTTATTAGCAGAAAGAGGGTGGTGACTTCAAAGGAGGTGCAATGATTTCTTGCACTGCTTCGGTGTGATTTGAGATCTGACTAAAGCTAAGTTTTTCTTTTATTCTTTCTAAGGAAAGACAACTCATACTGAAAGCCTTTAAGTATGACTTCAAAATCTTTCACTATGACTTGTCATTAACAAACGATGAGACAGTGATTGATTCTTTCCACAGATCCTGGAAGTAAAAGTAATGCTCTAGGATAGAACTTCTCAGGAAATTGAAGTTTTGCCCTTCTTTCTCCACAATATTAATCTTTTACAACCCATATCAATTTAAAAATCATACATGTGTGAGTGAGTTCAGTCTTTTAGAGCTCTTTCCTGCCTGAGACAAATGAGCAGATGTAACTACATGTATTTCAGGTGGCTTTCAAAGCAGTTTAACCCACCAGACTTACAGCAGAACGAGCACGTAGCTTACCAGAGAGTCTTCCATCATAGTTTTCTCATGATCCATTAAGTTCCCCATTGAGGATTTCTGTTAGTGCAGTCTGCGTACAGACAAATCTTTGAGTTACATCACTTGGAAAAATACATCTAATATTTTGTGTCATAAGTGTAATTAAGCAAAATAATTCCGACATTTGGCTCCTTAAATAATTCTGGAAAAATGGCAGCCGAACACACAATCGCATTACTAGATTTCGTAAGAGCTTCACGCATAGAAAACTTAGGATTGTGTGTGGCAAATCTCTTTGGAGATTGCCATAGTGATGAAATTGATAAAGATATTCTCTAAATTGCATCTTTTAATTTGCAGCTGCACAGCCCCTCCTCTTGCTACTTTTTCTTTTTTTTTCAGAAAGCATCATAAAGTTTAGACTTATCTTACTTATTGAACTGGCCATAGTTATTGCCAAAACGCTACCTGCTATCTTAGAAAAATAATTAAAAACCTTTACTTCTTACTTCAGAAGTTGGCCGTTGAGAGCCCCTTTCTCTACATAGACATGAAAATTCTTTGGATTTCATTGAAGCAGAGAAAATGTTTGAAATATTAACTACACCTAAATGAGGCAAGCCAGCCCAAATGTAACTTTTTAAATGTTCTTGCTTTTATAACATGCAGCAGAGTTGACTTTATATTTCACCAGGAATTACAAGGATTTATCTTCCTGTAGTATAAGGCTGCTAAAGGAATTCTCTCATTTTTATCCCCCAATTACATCACCTTACAGTACACTCTAGTTTTATGTAAGATACCATTCTAGGCAAGTGTAGTTAGAAAGCCGTTAGAGAAAGTCGTAGCCTTTGGGCCAAGCAATTCTGTAAAAAGGAAAGAAAGCAAGCAGTAACAACAAAAAACCCACTTTTTTTCTGGGGATCTTTTTGTCTTTCAGACAGAAAAGTTATGTTACTGCAATTTAAAAATGAGGGAATATATATTACTGGAGCTATAGCCAGAGTCTCTGGAGGAAACAAAAATCATTCTAATGCTTTGTAAAGCAACTCTTGAATCTGTTATTTACAGTACACTTCAGCTGAAAATATAGTAAAGCATCTTTTTTCTTATGGACTAGAAGCTGCAGTTTGTTCAGTGATCATGATTTATTTCTGATTGCTTTCCAAGTTCAACCTTTGGCACGGTCTGGTACAGCTGTTGCATAGTGTTTTATGTTGGGACCCCAGAATTTCCCCAGACAGAAATTTCTTCTTCAAAGCAAGGAGTATAAAACAGTAAATTTGGTCCTCCTTTTTCAATCTGGCTCATGCAGAGCTTGTTTGCATGGTTTTACATGAGCTAAATTGCTTATTCTCTTTTTCGTCTTCAGATATCTTGCTTGGGTATCACAACAAATGAAAGAATGAATGCAAGAAGATACAAGCACTTTAAAGTTACAACCACGTCTATTGAAAGCCCATTCAAGTAAGCTCTAAATTGTAAACACATTTCTTAGTTGTGCAGCCTCACACATATTTGAATTGTGCAGCTTGTTGAAACAGAACATTGCTAAATACTTTTAAAGTATTTCCACTACTTGGAACGCTGTATCTGTCAGCTATTTTTACATTAACACATTCTGTCCAGTTAAAGGAAGTGATAAACATTTTGTAGTGACTCTAGACCGGGGTGCATAGACACAGAAAGGAATGCTTTCCAGCAGTGGTCATATTTTACTGTAGCATTTATGGGGGAAAAAAAATAAAATATCCTCTTTATAAATCAGATGCCCAAACCAGAAGTAGTTGCTTATTGCATAGTGTCAGTGTTGACATGGATGTTCACTTCCACATCAGGCACTTTCTCCTGATTGATATTTAAAGTGCTGTTGAATTTGCTCTGTGAAGTGCCTCCCCTTGCCCTCTTTGCTGTGAGAAAAGAGGCAGGGCTTTCCTCCTGCCTGGGAGGAGGAGCACAGGCAGAGCTTTTTGTGGGGAAGGGAGTAGGTTGTCCCAGGAACTGCAGTGGGTGACACACGCACACAGGCTTTTGGGTATTGATGTGTAGAGGGTAGGTTGGGATTCTGGTTTCTGTAGTACTGGAAGAGGGGGGCCTGGGGATGAAACGGCGCTGAGGTGGGAGTACGGCAGCGTGGAGCCACTTTGGAGCCAAAGCTGGAAATAAGTGAAGGCTAGTGTAGGGTGGGCTTAGGGCACATTACAAAAGCAGCTGTGAAAGGACGCAAGCAGGACTCATCCTGCTGCATTTGCTGTCTCCTCTGGGAGCTGCTGTTCTTTCAGGTGATACTGAAGGGAGCAGAAGATGGGAGTTACTGTTGCAGTTTGATTTTTGTTCTAGAAGAGAAATTTGTGTGTTTTCTCTAATATCTCTCCATACAAAACTTCTAGTGAGAAGCAGACAAGCATGTCTATGGCTGCAGTCTTCCTACAATTGTAAAAACCAGATAATTATCTTGCCTGAAGAACACAGGGTGGTGCACAGCATAGGAAAAAAATACTGATTTTTTCCCCAAATTCATGTCACATTCACAAGCCATTTTCACTGAAGAAGCTGCTATTATAAGAATGACTCCTGAAAATAACACCAGATGTGTGAAGTAACTGACTTGGCATCACCTGTCAGATGAAGCATTGACATCAAGTAGTTGTTAGCTCCTTATTGCTTAGGCTTGCTCTTGCATATATCATAACATGAGCTTCTTTTCCAGAAAAATGTGATCTATTCATCCTGCGCGCAATTAAATTTAAAAAAAAATCCAGCACGTTGGAATTTTGATGTAGGTGTCTTAAATATTTGACAACTAATTGATTCAGCAGCAGAAAGCACTTGAATAGTTCATTTAATCCAGATGATGCTTACTTAATTTTGTGTTGTCTGGGGACTTAATTGATCTTAGACCTGCAGCTGGTGAACCAGTGTGTATGACTGAAATAGACAGTAATAAAAATGGAAATTATTCTAGGACTATATCACTTCATGTTGTTTTGTCTTGCATCCCTCTATACAGTGCAACATTGCTCTTAGGCAGAGGCCTGAATTACCACGCTGTGCTGCGTGACGGTGCGCTCCCAATAACAGGTCACTGCTCCGGGCAATTTTGATAGATAGTAGAAGGAATTTAGTGTCTGGGTTGTGTCCAAGGATCAAACGTTCGCCAGTCTGGTCTCGTACTTCTTATTTCAGAACTTGCTCATCAGCAAGCACTAAAATAACTCTTAACCAAACTAGTTTTCTGCAGTCATGAACTTAAAGAGTGAAGAATCGAATTTGTAGCCTAGACCAAAAACCTTGTACTTTGTTAGAGGAGTTGCTGTGTGGGCTGCCCTACCTCATCCTGCTTTGGCAGTGAGGTTGGACTGGTTGATTTGTGGAGGTCCCTTCCAACCCCTCACATTCTACGATTCATTCTGTGAGCTACGATGTTGCTTTCTAACATGTGTTTTTGTTTTGTCTTTTCTAGCCATGGATGTATAAGGAACGTTATAGACTTCTTTGAATTCAGATGCTGTGGTCTTTTTCGGCCTGTTATCGTGGACTGGACAAGGCAGTACACAATAGAATACGACCAGACTTCAGGATCAGGCTACCAGCTAGTGTAGCACCACCTTCGTCCTTTGAGCATATCGTATCTGAGTGGTGCCTGAAGAATTTTCTCTCTCTCTCGAATCCGCATCCCTTGAAGAGTAGCATGCTATGTGTAGGGCTGATGATGAATCGTAAGGTACCTTCTCTTCACCAGAATTTTATTAACAAGAGTAAAAATGGACAGAACAAACTGCCAAACCTGATAAGGAAGAGGAGGAAGATCAAAAAGGGATTTTAACAGTTCTTAACATGAGAATTATTCGCGACAGCATATTCACAGTATTTGTTGTTGGGTTTTTTATTTAAGGTCTTTCACAATGGAGCATGAGATTATTGAAGTCTTGACATAAGTAGTTATGTTGTGCTGAGCAGAAAAAATTATTTCCCAATATGAATAATTCCACTGAAACAAGAATCTAGAATATAAAACCAAACTTTATGATGCAGAGTTCACTGATCGCTATGTTGTAGTTCCTGTAATGTGATTTTTTAATACAGATTTTCTGTAGTATTATGTACATTGAAAAATGTACTTTTCAATACTGTTATAAACATCATGTGGTGCGAATCCCCAGTAACGTGTTAAATTATAGCAGTAGGGCACGTTAGATAAAGTTGAGGAAAAAATATGTTGCCCACGTTTTTGATGATTGTTTTTGCCACCAGTTAGTGGTACAAGGAGATACTGGTAGTAACCCTCTTCTGAGATTATTTAGTCTGAAATGAACAGTTGAGTGAGTAAGGAAGGCTCTTCTGTCCAAGTTCAAGCCCTGCTTAAATGCACGATTACAGTATATAATGTTCAGGAAAAAATGTGGGGAAAGTAATCATTATATCTGAATTAATTGTATAAGCAACTTACGAGCAATGTGTTGATACTAGGTTTTGGTCCTCATGCAGTACAGGCTGGAAGAGAAATTGCATAGAGGAAATCACAGATGTGAAAGCAAAAATCCCAGTTATAAAGAGGCAAGAAAATTTTAAATTGAATGCAACTGCAGAAGAAGAACCCAGAGTTTTCTGAAATGCTTATTTTATTTGGATGTAAAATAACAGAAACCAAACTTTAAAAAAAGTATTTTTTTTTAAATCCCCACAATAGTGCGCGCACACACACACAGAAAATGTACTCAATGTTCTGGAGAAGATGGTGTAATGGCACATAGAAATCACCCTTAATTTCTTTTTTTTTAAGTTCTCATGCTACCAATATGTTTGGAAGGTAAGGAATGATCTGAAATTGCATTCCAAATGGGGCTTTTCTTGAATGTGATGCACTGATTTTTGTTATGGGGTTTTCATATACTCATAGTGAATTGTTCACTGCTTCCTTAACTATTGTTTACAGAGAGACTGAGAATCAGGTTAGTTCTCTTCTAAGTGCTGTAGCAACCCAGTGGTTCAAGAAACCTGTGAGGGGAGTTTGGGGAGGGACCTGAAAGCAGATGTCCGAGACCAGTGTAAAGAATGTGTATCTGTATATAAATAATTTATCAAATACTTTTCTCTCTGTGAGTGTGTGTTTAGTGTATTTAAAGCTGCTCATTTTCATTTTATTCAACCAAAAAAAGTGTAGGAAGATATCTAATGAGCTTTTAGTGATGTTCAATATTGCTGTTAATAGGCATTAATGCCCTGCAAATTCACCGCATGTTTGATGCTTGGCAAAAGTAGCGTTTTCTGTAATACGCAGATTACAGGTACTAAAGCAATCTAGTGGTATTCCCGGCCCTTGCCTTAGTAAGAGGAGCAGTGAAACTGTAAATAGTTGATGTTCAGTATTTGCAAGTAAACATTTTTTCTGTAGTTGTTCATTGATCTCAAGACACACACTTAGTCTGCAAGTACCAGATATCAGGATTTACAGAAGTTGCAGCATTAGAGTACTTGAATGTTTAATACTGGAAAAATCAACATCGTCTTGGACACAGTTTTAACGGGAGAGGTTTGGGTGTAGGGGGGGTGGCAAGAAGCTTTAGCTATTTTTGTCAGACAAAATTTGTAATCCTAACAAAGACACGTTCTGTTTCAGTGAAAACAGTTGACATTGGTTATTCATATTTTTTTCTAATCAGAATAAAGCATGAAGACTTTACAGTGTTTATTTTAATCATTGGTGATGTTCTACATATTTGTTCATATTTTTGTTCACATTTCTTTGGAGGGTCGGTTGACTTGAAGAACTTCAGTCCACTTTACTCAGTATCTCGTGGCACCAGAAGAGCAGTTCAGTACCAGGTTTTGGGTTTAGTTGCCCAGTAGCGTTAACTGCCGTGAGTTGTGTCACGCAGTCCTGTCAGAAACATTTGCAAAAGAAGAGGTGATCGTTGGTGGTAGTACGTCGTGAGTTCTGCACTATTTACTTCTTAATAGCTCTCTGGTGACAGTTTTGTTGGGACCTGCGGAATCTGAGCAATAGTAGGTAGTTGTGAAAATTAACTTGGGATGTATGAAGTTTCCAGTACAAAATGTAACTTGTCTTGAGTAACACTGAATTGTTTGATGTGAAACCGTAAAATCAAGCAGGAGGGAGCCACCTACGCAGCCTTTTTCTGTCGAGTTATCAAACTTACAAGTCACTTGAACCAAAACTGCATTGCTTCTGAAACTTAACAAAGCTGCTCCAGACCAACAGCAGATCAGGCCGACTTAATCTGACATAGGTAGAATAAATGGGAATTTTGTCTTGGCCCTAAACATGTGCTGTTTCTTTGCAGATTTCTGTATTATTCTTTGATGTCCACCAGAGTTGGGGTTTTTTTTGTTTGAGTTTGTTTTTTTTTTTCAATTAATGTGTAATACAGCATCACTACAATTTAAGCTATGGATTTTTTTGTATATTCTTTATTTATAACTGTGCCAAGTATTATTTTAATACTGTCGAGATCTTGATGTATTACATTGTGAACAAAAAAAAATCTGTAAAATGTTTAATAAATTAGCTCTCCTTACATAAATTAAATCTGTTAAATTTTGTAAGTTATTAATCAAATAAATATTGACTCTTAGATGCAGTGTTTGTCTTGACTTGGGATGTGATTTCACCCAGTGTTGTTTCTGTCCAATTTCAGAAGCCGCAGAATGAGAAAACAGCTGTCGTTTTGCATCTTAGTTTAGTAAAAGTCTTTCTGGAAAGATTTCCGGGTGCCTTAAAGATACCATGCACCCCGTTCGTGCCGATGTCAAATTCTGTGAAATACCACACTGGGTTTTTGGTAAAATACACCGTTGTCCTGTTCTTGTTACCATTCGCTAATTAGAAGTGAAGCACGCTGGCAAGGTAATGTTTCTTAGGGGAGAATTCCTTTTAGGGAGCATTTCAGGTGACCAGATGTACATTATTAATGACATTTGAGGTATCGTAAGGATAGACAAGACATCCACATAGGGCTAAGAGGTAGTGACCGAATGTGTGCTTTTAGGTGACACTTGACTCTTCTGGTCTGTGCTAAATTTTGAGTAGACAAAGGGTAACCACCCAAACGAATTTAGTCAGGGTGTTACCACGTATAAGGCTGGGACTTAAGAGCATGCCTTATGGGGAGAAAAATTTCTCTATGTTTTCTACTGGATGCTGGTTCAGGGGACACTGGGAATTGTTGGCGCTGTTTTCTCCTTCCCCAGGTGATGGTTCTGGTGAGGCTGGGCCCAAGCTTGCCCCTGCTGACCACCCTTTCTTTGACTTGTCTGGAAAAGATCCGGGGAGGTACTTTCATTTTTTTTTAAAAAAAAGACATTCTGTGCTGGAGGTTTGCAGTGCCCCATCAGAGCAGTCGCTGCTCTTGGGAGGTACGAGTGGGCTCCTGACGACTTGAAAGTTGGTTACTGGGTTTGTTTTATTTGGGAAAAAGCCTGCCCTCTACACCCTCATTGTGGCTTGGTTAGAGTTCACTCCCTTGCACCTCCCAGGAGCTGCCTTTAAGTAAAAGCAGACTTTTTTTTTCTACAAAAGCAATGTCAGCTTGTGAACTCTTGCATTTGGATTTTATCCACCTTAGAGTGCTGAATGGAGATCAGTAATAAATGCACCTGATAATTCCGGTTTGAATTTATTTGCGATATCTTACGAACTTAGTGCCATATTCATGTTACCTTAAATCCTACATACTGCTTCAGATTTCCAGGTCATGAAGTCAATGTACTTTTGAGAACCACTCGCTCCTGCAATTGAGGCTCCAAAGCATTACTCCAGCCTGGGCTGAGCTTTTATTCGTCAGCGCTCTGTTGCAGCTAAAAAGTTGACAGTAACTATGTGAAAACAATTCAATGTAGGGCACTCATTTCTCTTGACAGTTATATTGCCTTTATGGTTACAAGTTTTCTTTTTTTCCTTTATTTCTTTGTTTTTCTGTCTCATTCAATGAAGTTGTTGGGATGTAGAACAATACAGAGCTGTGAGTTACCACTGACTCCCTCCAGGAAATGAAAGGAAAGCCCTTGATTTTTAGTAGTTTAAATCACTTCCAAACACTTCTACATTTCACTTTTCTAAGAATTGAAAGCTTTTTTTTTTTATAGGTAAATGAACAATGTGTAGAGATGCCTGCTTTTGTCAGCATAAATTGCACCTGCCAACTCTGCTAATGCCATGGGTTTAGATCCCCCACACTAGCTACATGAACTAATGGGGAGTGGTTTCAGCTGCTCAGTCATGTGTCAAGAACAGGCTTTTTGGTTTCTGTCTATTAAACAGTGCCACTGGGCATTTTATAATGCCTCTCCTGAGAAGAAGAAGCGCTTCCACCAGGTAACAAGGCTATGGAAAGGGAATACTGTCCTTGTCTTCCTGTCCCTTGGCTGCTGGGGCCTGGATACCACTTCTAAGTTAGAGCTGTCCTTGCTCAGGTTGAAGAGTTGGAGGGGATCAGCCCTTCCTTGCCAACTGTCAAATTAGCAAAGGAGAAAAGGGTGGGGTTTGGTTTTTTAGGGGAAAAGTATTAGGGTTGCCAGTATGAGTTACAGAACCAAAGGTTTCTGCCCAGGTTTCCCAACTATGCTGCCGCTTGCTGTCTCCCACCTGGAGCATGTGCTGCTCCTGCCTTATTGTCTCTTTCGGTTGTAATCTTTCCCTCTCTGTGAACTGTACAAGCTCTTGGCTCTCACACGTTGAGCTGGCTGGCTGTTCTTCACATCCACATTATTTCTTTGTAACCCATACAAAATGCTCTTTGTGTATTATTTTGACTAGTTCGTATTTTTCTAATTAGGCTTTTGGCCTGCACTGCCTCACTGCCTCAGACCGCAGCGGTAGATGTTGCTGTCTTAGACTGTGCTGACACGCTTGTTTACTATTTTGTTGCAGCATTCCCAGTCTTGAATGTGTTTTCATAAAATCACTCTGTGAAAGCTTTTTTTCCAAAAAAAAAAAAAAAAAAAAAGTAGCAGCCTGCTTCCCAAACCAGACAGAGTTGCAAATTTCATCTTTAACTTCTGTTGGTCATGGTGAGAATTGAAACCAAACCTCCCCCTCCACTCCAGAAGGTCATGTGGGTTGTAGCCACCAGGATGGAGGTTGTGCCTCCCCACAGATGTGATCAGCCTCTAATAAAGCTCTTGCCATGCAATAGCATGTCCTTTGCTAGAAGGGATGGAAGGACACTCCTGCAACCACCCCATTACCTGCTGGAACTCAGGTGTGCTCCTCTGCGGAACGGTTGTGCTTTTGAGAGGCCTCAATGCCCAGATCTCATGTGCTTCCTCTTTAGGAGGCAACAGAAGTCATTAGCTTTGCAAAAGGCGCTTGGCAGAGGAGCCTGAGCACACCAGTGAAGATCTGCTTCAGGTGCTCAAGAAGCTTAAGGACTAGATTTTAAAAAATAGACTATAAAAATTACAAAGCTGCTCATCCTACATGCTGATTACTGGCAGAAAACTAAGGCAAGTTGCCTTAAACTGGATGATATCTGCATAACTGTTTTAGGCTTAAGTTCCTCACTCTCACCTCAGGCCTTTGTGGCAGGTGGGTCCTGGGTCTCCTGTTGAGGAGACAACTCTTAATTTGCTTCCCAAGAAGTGCAATTGCAGGTGCTGTGAGCTCAGGCCTTGCAGGCTTGTGTTGAGGGCTGCTCCAGCCTCTAAAAGAAGCCAAGCTCTTCTGTGAGCTTTCCACTCAATATCTGGCTAAGGCAGAAGTAGTTGTCTCCTAATTGTAGACCTTTATTAGGAGCAGTCCCTAAAGAGTTGTCTTAGCAGAGTCAAGGCCCCTGACTATTATGGCTTTCACCCAACTGATGTGTTTGCACAGAGATGATCTACACAGCATTCGATGTGTAGATCATTTGCTACCGCTCCTTGTCCATCATCTTGGGTTAAAAGTCACATTCTCTACTAGAGCCTTTAAAGACAGAATTTTATTCTGTTCTGTTGTTGCGCTGTAGCTGCCTTGTCAGCTGCTGTCCTCAAGAGGCTGAAACCCTCCACCATCTTCAGAGAACTAAGGGTCCTGGCACTAGCAAGAAAAGGTCAAAATCTGCTTTTAAAACCTAAGCTTGATGTTAACAGTCCAGAGCTTGGTCAACTGTTGAGTGGAGCTGCTATTAATCTGCAGCTGTCTGGGTAGAGTGCTCCTCCTGCACAGTAAATCCGGTGCAGAACACCACCTTGATACAAAAGCAGGTGCAATCCCACTAAAATATTAGAGTGAAAAAGCTTTATTTTCTGTTCAGTAGAGCCTCTATGGCAGAGCCAGCCAGCCCTTTGGGTACACAGCTATTCATCTACCACTTGCAGAGCTGCATCACTGCACGGAGTGGTATATTGAGATTTACTACTTCTGTCCAGTAAGCAGCCAGTTGCCTTGCACTCATACATAGATGGTGTGATACTGGAGGACGGTCATTTGCCTCTGAAGGCTCTGACCAAGTGCTCTTTCTGTCCAGCTTTCAGTCACCTTGGGCTTTCAGTGAAGGTCTGCACTAAGCCTTGTAGCATCTTATCTCCACCCTTGAAGCACCCCAACAACACTCCCCTTACCTATCTTTTACCGCTGACAAAGCGCATAACACGTGGCTTAGGATATATCAACAAGCAAAGCTTTATTGAATTGATACTCAGTATTGTTACAGTGTGATACACAAAGCAAGAAAAAAAAGCAGCGTGCTTTTTTTTAAAAAAAAAAAAATCATCTGCTGAAGGTATGCCCAAGCACTACAGTAACTAGTATCTGTTTCACAGTAGTTAGTAACGTTTAGGAAACTCTCTTGTTTGTTGTAGCAGGATCTCAGCAGAGCCGTGAGGGGTTTTGAGCTGTGCCCTCTCACTGGGCATGAACGAGGGCACCCGCTCCCTGGCCATATCCAAATCCCTTGGGGCCAAAGTTCTTTGCGTAGCAACCTGCAAGAAAGAAGAACATGGAGTAGATGAGGCTTCTGGATCATTAATTCAGAACAGCACTGCCCAGGCTAAGCCCTTCAGCACTTCCCATTAGCCACCAGAACATCCCCACTGAAAGCAACGCTTAAAAACATTCTGTTTATCTGTGAAACTGCCATGACTGAACTCAACAGCCATGGCTGCTGGGTCTGTGTCGCTCCCAACCCACCCCTTGAGAGCAAATCGTACATCAGTTCTGTGGCCAGCTATCTGTTAAGACGTGTCGTCCTCAAACCACACTGTGGATTAATTTTATATCCGTGACACCATGCAAGAAGGGATGGCGGGATGCTCACTGGCCCAGGTGGAGGGCACAGGCTGCTGCTGCATTTCTCACTACATCATGTTTTGCTGGATGCAGACGTAACCTACAGCAACAGCAGCAATATTTAGTTCCTCAGCTCTACTCCTATGATTTCTAGAGCACTTCTATCCTGACAGGTGCCTCACAGTTTCTTATACAAGGAATAAATTCAGCATCTGTCTTTGTAACATGTTACCTTGAACCATTCTTTCCTCACCTTTACAATAGATTTCCCCCTCTTTTTCAGTTAGGGTTGTGGATTCTAGGCTTTTTCCACACTTGGCACATCGGAAGCAGTTTTTGTGCCATGGCTAGGGAAAAAAAAATAAAATA